AAGAGGCGTCCCTGTGGAGTAGTTGGTAGAGCGACGTTCTTGACGTCGCGGACAGACTACCGGTGGCGGTTCGATTCCCCGCTGGTCCGCAGGTAAGCCTCAAGTGTGGTGACCAGGCGAAAGCCAATTGGCGCCGTCCACAAAAAAAAATGGCATTGTGGAAGGCAAGGGAGGGGGAAGTTCATAAAAAGTCAGATTTTAGACTCAAGTTTTAAAATAAAGAGTTGGATTTTAGACCATGGCATTGTGGAAGGCAAGGGGGGAAGTGCAAGAGTTGGAATTTAGATCATGGCATTGTGGAAGGCAAGCATCAATTGCATAGAGGTTGAAACCTCGTCCACCAGTCCACACACCCGTCGCTGCTCCCAACAGAAGTCGCAACGACTCAATTGAGGGTGTGGGGGAAGATATTCCTTCCTGTCTGGCAGTTTTCTGACCTCGTGCAAAATCTTTCACGACGATTCGAGCTCGAACTCCTTCGTCGGCTTCAGGCTTACTGTTCGGAACCCACCTGAAGGAAATGACCTTGATGTTGTGCTTCTTGCAAAACTGCAAAGAGCAGATTTGGAGAAGTCAAACATCCAACCCTGACTCGCTCAGAGGCTCAGAGCAAAGACAGACATCGTTGACCACGTCAACACCTGCTTTCCCCAATTCAAGACGCAAGAGCTTCTTTCACCTCACGGACTCCACGCTCCACTGAACCAACAGTATCATGGTTCTGGGGACTTGCTTTGTTGACGGTGAATTCCCTCGGAATGCCAGCTCTCCTCAACGTCGTACCGAGCTCATCGGACGCGTCAGACCTGAAATCAATCGGCTTCGGATCTCCAGACAGCAGTCCAAACTCTGCCAAGGTCTGGCGGACATGCTGGCCGGTGGTATCAACGTTCTCGCTTACAGCGGCGAAACCCAGTAAACCACTGAAACAGTGACGAAACAAAGGAAACTTGCTGCAAACCAACCGTTCCCAAGAACATGAAGTCAACCTGTACCTCAAGCAAGCGCTCTTTCAAATCTCGCCTAGGTGCTCTCGAATGGGGAAAGAGTTGAAAGAGTTCCAGCTTTGTAACTCCAAACAGCTCCGCAAGAAAGAGCAAGATGCGTCAAGTATGTAGTAGTAGTAGTAGTAGTAGTAGTAGTAGTAGTAGTAGTAGTAGTAGTAGTAGTAGTAATAGCAGGAGTAGTAGTAGTAGTAGTAGTAGTAGTAGCAGTAGTAGTAGGAGTAGTAGGAGTAGTAGTAGTAGTAGTAGTAGTAGTGGTAGTAAAATTATTAGTAGGAGTAGTAGTAGTAGTAGTAGTGGTAGTAAAATTATTAGTAGGAGTAGTAGTAGTAGTAGTAGTAGTAGTAGTAGTAGTAGTAGTAGTAGTGGTAGTAGTCGTCGTAGTAGTAAGCCCCCCTTGAAGCCCCCCCCTTGAAGCCCCACTTGAAGCCCCCCTGGAATGACAGCTGCATGGGGCCTTGAGTCAGGTTTTCATTTGGGTGCAGATGCCATGGAGGTCAACGAGGTTTGTCTTTCAGGTCAGGCTTCTGGAAACAACGGTGGAAACCAATGGCTATGGCTTGCAATGTTTTTCATGCTCTTGATGGTGGTTGGTTTAGCAATGAAAGGGTACTTCATGTTGCGGCAAACAGCTACAGACTTGGCTCACTGCTGGAGACACGTTGGAGACGAAGATGAACACATATCGAAACAGGAATCAAGGATTGACACATTGATCCAAAAGTGCGAAAATTTGGAAAACCAATTGCAGCAAGTTTTGGCCGAGCTGAAGGATGAGATTCAATCGGTCAGCAACAAAACAAGCATGGTGCATGAATATGCTGCAGGTATCCACCATTCATTGATGGAACATGGTGGATTCTTGAAGAATGGACTTGGACTCTCTCACCAACAAATGGTCCATTTGGCCACACTTGAGACAGCCAATTTGGTAACAGCTCGAGTGATGGGTTCAGTGGAATATATGAGAAATTTGAGACAGCGCTACATTCCTCAAGGTCATGCAGATGAGACAGATACAATTCCAATGGAAACATCGGGGGATGAAGGTGAAAATGAGATGCCTTCAATGCAGGAGGCCACAACAACACCTTCGAGCGCGGAGTCAGTTTCTGGAATGGTCGATTTCCTCAAAGCAGAGCATCTAGGATGTTTGGAACGTTCAGAATTTTGGGATGCAAATGCAATCCTAATCCAAGGTGTCATTTTTTCAATTTTTGGAAGAGATCAGAGGATCGTCTGGATAGAACATTTTGGTGCGATGCCGCGATACGATTTCAGCACTGTTTGGAGATTTGAAAGGCCGTGCCATTGAACAGAATCGATGGGAAACTGCAGACAGGTACCAAATGATTTCACAGATGTATGGACCGGATTGAAATGGAAATTTGTTTTGCTTCCAATGGCGCAATAACAGCAACAATATCTGCATTATTGTCAAGTGGAAACGCAAGAAAAAAAATTGAAACGTGCAGATGCAAGTTTTAATCACATCTACAAGGAGGAGTGTGTAGGATTTCTGATTCGAATCACTACTTGGAAACGTTGAGACAGACTGCATTCAGGTTTGGATGACACGCACAAATCGAGAAGAGACATGTAGACAATTTGACATTCACGTACATGAAAATCATGTATGTATCTTTCAGGCCTTTTGGCTGGAAAAAAAATTGCTGCCTGCTTCGCATCATCAGATCCCTAAGTCTTCCTTTCATCTTCCACTCGCTGGTGTGTGCTTGGCTCACAGAAACAAATCTAAGAAACTAGATCTCACAGTTAAAATTGCATCTAAACACAAATTTGAACGGTATTGTCCAAAACATCCGATTTCAATATTTGATTGGAAAGGAAAATGCGGACAACATCTATCTAAGTCAGCGCTTTGTGGTGGAGATTCTAATGAGACTCGCATGTTGTGGATGCACGCACCTACGCATCCTTGCGCTGCAGCTGATTTTGTTCCACGAGTGATTCATGTCTTCGGCCAAAAAGGGTCGAACCCATGCTGCCAACGAACTGCCAAAACCATTTGAAAACTATTCCAATATCAAATGACAGATTTGGTAAACTTAAAGTTCCCCCGTGCACAGTTCTTTCATTCAATTCCCATCCCGCATTCTATAATTTGTTGACGAGGGTGAGATCACAAACTCTGGTTTGATCAACTGCCAATTCCAATGGCCGGATGCTCAGCACACATCCAAAAAAAAACACATGTGGGAATCAGTGTGCAGGGTGTGAAAACCTTGATTTGAACGTGAAAACACATACATACTGATGGCACAAAATGGAGCGTACAAATATGGACGCCTGATAGTTGTTTTCGTTGTTGCCCAATCAGCCATTTGAAAAGCACCTATCTGGTCAGTTTATGGAAACGAAATTGGACCTTTGCGCCCCATGACAACCATTGTTTTGCAAGTCAAAATCCGCCTTTGTACAGGGCCCCAACCCATTTCAATGATATTTGCAATGCTTCTTGTGCCATTTTGTAGAGGTGTTGCGGGATGAACTCCAGCGTTCTGCGCTGACAGGCGCTGAATTTCAAGTTGGTGGTGTTACCTCCTTGGATGGTGGCAGAATAGTTTTTGGAACTGGTAATTTCGTGGACATGCATGGTTTTCCATGTTTTTTTTCTGGAAAGGACACAACAAATCCCTGCATATGTTTTTTTGCAGCTGATTTCAAACACCTATGATGACAGGACATTGCGATGCGGCGCAGGCTCAGGGGATGCTGCATTGTCGTTGTTGGTGCCAGGGTTCATATTGATGAATATCCATTATCCATTATTTTTCAGGAGCGGGTCAGATGAGATCATGGATTCATATACTTACCATTATCTGGAATTTTGTGGTGGGAACAAGGTACAACGACAACGGTACAACGTGATGAATCAAACCTAAGATTGTGGGAGATTTGGCAGTTGCCCAGTTGTTCCCAACAAACACATCCCTGCCTCGACTTTTGCATCTCAGAATCTCAAAACAAAATTATGTTGCTTGGAATCATGCGTATTCGCAACAAATGCCACAGACACATTTGTTGACATGGAAATTTTTTGTTAGACCTGTGAGGCACGCAATCGCAAGAAGGAACAGAGGGAACAGAAGGCACAACATGAATGGCTGCTGACCCTTAATTTCAAGAGTGTTCTTGGCTTGTGGTTCCTGTGGCTAAACAAATCCTTTTTCCCAAATGAAACAGGTCCAAGAGGAATTTGCGTCAGATCATTTGAATACCTTGCAAAGCAGCGTGAGAACACGTCACCAGGCGCTTGGTTTTGGTTCATCAGCGGAACGAGGTTGCATGGGCGGGGTATGGACTTTGAGGTGTAGATGATTTGAACATGTTTGATCTGTGAGAACTGGACATTTGTTGAAAACATCTTGTATTACTTATGACCCCTTCATGTGGTAAAAGACTGGTGAAGTATCTGTGCTATCCACCAGCTTAGCCTGCGCCTGTCATGTTGGATGCTGAAACAGTGATAATTAGCCAGCGTTTGATTTGATATCAGATCTACACTCCAACCCAAGCGTCTGCCACTTTTGGGGTTTGAGCAGATCGCAGGTCTGGCATCGCGAATGAGGCCGCGTTCAGGTCTGATCCTGCACAGTTCCGAAAAGTTGATTCGTTTCTTTGGAGTGCTAGGTTTCTGCATCGAGCGGTGGACAGAACGCTTATCCAGTTCTAATCGCGTCTTGAATGTCTTTCGGGCAACTGGAATTCATTGAAAATATGGAATGAATGACACTTTTATTGAGTTTCCGGTCAGGTGAAGAGGTCCCGAAAGTGGACCTGAAACCAGACCCAGCCCGAGATACACTGCAAGTCAGATTCGAGTGATTTTCACAAGAAGTTCCAAAGAATCATGTTGGGATAGTCTGATTTTTTGCAGGATTCTTCCCAGGTTTAAGGATGCTGTGATCTCACCTGGCACATTGAATTACAGTGGAAGCAGCGAGTTTTGCTTCGCGAGCGTTGCTTTTCAAGGAACACAGGCGAAGGCGGTCCAGCTCCTGTTCCGGAGACGGCAGGTGGGCCCACGAAAGCGCTGGCAAGCTGGTGTGAAAGAAAGCGACATGCAGAGATCTTGCCACGCTTGTATTTGCTTCGCACTTTTAAAGAATTTTGGATCCATTTGGATCCATTTGGTCTGTTTTTCTGTTTGGTTTCTACTCATTGCAGTCTTCGATAGGCAATGTGTGACGCCCATGGTTGCGGAGCACAGTCCTGCTCTTGGAGCTGAGGCTTCGAAACACACACCGAACAACATCACCGCAGTGCAGCACCGAGGTGAAGCCTCAGAAAAAATCAAGGCTCGCATCCAGAGCTGCTTGGCCAGCCGTGCCGGCAATGGCAGGTGCCGATGACCGGGAGTCGGCTTGGAATGTTCAGCTGATGTTTCATAGTCAAATCAAAGGTTCAGCTTGAAATTTCAACATGGGTGAGACTAGCCACAATGGAAAGAGGAGATTGAGACATGGACAACTGGACAACTCCAGGAATCTTTGCACCCTTGGTGAAATATGTACTGCACTTATCTGCACATGAGAAATCAAACAATTTCAAATGCGAAGCCAGCCCTGCACCAAACAGGAGCAAGCATTGGAAGGGCGAGGCGCCAAGGGCGGACCTTGATGCTTTCGTACTGCAGACTAGTTCGATCTAGTTCAGGTCTTGATGAAGAGGCCTTTATTCCGGAGAAGGGACAATTCCATTGCAATTTTCATTACAATCCAAGCAATCCAAGTATTTGGGCGTTTCACAATGGAATGAATTATCATGCCATGGATAAAATCCTACCGCCAAACCATCGACTGAAACTATTGGTGCTGCATCCGCAGGGCCCTGAGAAGACGGCGCCACCCAAGGAGGTGGCTGAAAAGCCACGAGGTGAAGCCAGACACTTTCGCATATTTTCGCAACATTTTCCAATGTTTTTAACATGGAACTGGGATGCACTGGGTATTCTGATGTATTCTGATGTATTCCGTGATCCTGGTGACTGGCATGGGCCAGGCCGACATTCTCAGAGAAGCGGAAGCAGGTGAGGGCTCAGACACTCTCAGACACTCTCAGACACTCTCACTTCAATCACTACTCAAAGTGAGTGTCTGTTGTCCGGCCCGAGAATCTTGTGGTGCTGGCAGGTCTCCCAAAATTGCTGAGATCCCGAAAGAGGCACCTGGAGAGGGCAGCGGGGCCACTCCCTCTGAAAGTGAAAAATGGACCATATCTGCCGTGGTGTATCTCGAGAGGATTTGGGTGCAGACTCCACGCTTCATTTTTGTGGGGCAACAATATTCACCCCGCTTCGCGTGGGGTGGCCGCCCACACCGCAGGTTTATTTCGGTCCGTGAGAGGGGCTAAGGGTGGTTTTCCCCCGTGGGGGCTCTTCAAGCTAAGAAGTTTCAATAAGAAATCCTTCCAAAACATTGTTTTTGACAGTGTTTTTCCAATGTTTCCAGTCAAACAGACGGTAATTTACACGTTTTTTGCCATAAAGGCAGTAAATCCTTCCAAAACATTGCTTTTGACAGTGTTTTTGTAATGTTTCCAGTCAAGCATACGGTAATTTACACGTTTTTTGCTATAACGTCAGTCCAAAACACTTGTTTTTGCAGTGTTTTCAATGCTCTGGCATCCAAAAACCCTGCAAAATCTTGCTATGTACAATGTTTTTTTCATTTTTGGCCGTTTTTCCATTGCCGGAAAGCTACCAAAATGACCCAAAATTCCATTTCAATACCCTCTTGCGCTCAGACACCCAAAAATCCTCGAAAAATGTCGAAAACACCACCGTATTCTGGTCTCGGTGCGAAACCGTTTTTGGGGTCTGGTCTCGGTGCGAAACCGTTTTTGGCCCCCCCCCCCAGCTAAAGCTGATATAGCGACTGCTATATTAACAAATGTCATTGAGCATTTAGTGTTGCTGTTGCCCCCCAATAAGCACGCCTTCACCGCCAAAGCGGTGTGGGCGGATTTTTAGATCACCAAATCAGTGGCAAATCAGTCAGCCAACAAAAACGTGAACTTGTCTGCAGTAAGTGGACATCGGAGCTCGTGCTAGTGCACTGGCAGGGGTGGGGGGCAAGCTCTCGATCCACGTGGGAAAGCCTGGAAATTGGTAGATCCAAATCTAGAGTCGTTTTCAGTGCAGGGTTGTAGAGGAGGTGCACCACTGATTGGTGTAGGATCAGAAAAGATCAGAAAAGAAGGAATGGCTTTACAAACTCATGGGTGCTCTTGAAAACAGGTTGTTGAGGACTTTTGTTTTGCAAGACGGATTCTGCCAAGGAGCACAAATAGTCCCACAATCCGAAATGACAAATTTCAGCACCAGCGCCTGCGGCAGTTCTTCCTTTTTCGTTTGTATTCTTGTTACAGAGGTCTGCCGGCGTGAGTCCACAACGAGAAGGTGAGGGATGATCCATCATGATCCGTCATTCGATGATTTTGATATATGTTGATTTATTTTGATGATTTGAGCCAATGGAAAGTGACGAAAGTAGTGACAGTTGGAACATGGCAAACTCACCAAGGAGTACCGCCAGCTGCCTTGGGGCCACCAGTGCCGCGGCAGCTTGGGCGGACGCCCAGCCCACAGGGAAGACCAGAGCCGCCAGGAGAGTCATGTTCCTGTGGCGTTCCTATTCTGGTTGTGGGAGACATGGTCTCCGTCCTTGCAGTACCATGCTTGATACTTATAGGATTTTATAGGATTTTATAGGACTTTATAGGATTTTATAGGATTATAGGATCTTATAGGCAAAGAGGGTTTCTCTATACATCTGAAGCAGCCAGGCAACCAATCCGGATTGGTTTCCTCCAGGAGGCAGCAATCTCTTGGACGTCTATCGCAATATCTTCGAAGAGATCATCTTGCTTGATCATCAGTACGGGGCCACTCTCAGAAAGGTCACCCTGGGGGCCCACTGGGGGCTGATGGAGGGCTGATGGAACAGAGTTACACCGTGTAACACCGCAAATTGCTTGGTAGCAATCTTGAGACACCAGCAGGACAGCCAAGCTTCTCTTTCTTTCGCAGCATACTTTCAAAGTGGGATGAGAAACCACAAGTGTTGCATGAGTCAGGCATGAGTCAGGCCTATCATCAGACCTTTCTTGGTGATGCCGTGCCTCTTTGAGTGGTAGACTGTCAGCAAAAATCCCGGAGGTGAAATCCATCTACGATTCTCACCTGGATGGCCTTGAAGAGGCACCCGAATACAGTCCCTGTCGTTACTGTCGTTGCTGTCCCAGGGAACAGAAGATCGCAGTTCAAACTCTGACGACGCTGACGTGGGCTTTTGCGACTTTCAGTTCACACAGAATGACGATGTGGTGCTTTTGGGGATGCAAAATATGGCTTACATACATTCTCTGTACACATTGATGCAAAATATGGCCTATTTTTTTATTGGGAGGGTTGGTTCATTTACCGAAAGACTACCATGTGGATCTCGTTCTTTCAGAACGAACGCAAAGGACCCCCCCATTCAGAACTTGATACTGGCCTTGCTTGTTGGCTTCATGCTGTGATGATCCTGATCTACACTAATGAATACTAATGCTGGTACATACCAGCTCATACCGGTGCTATTTTTCACACCAGTAGCAGTAGGGGCTGGTTGTAATCTTCAGTTTGCATATCAAAATATCCCAACGATCGCAGAGATGTGCCAGTTGCGGCGCGAGAATGATCGCCTACGTGCAGCCCTGGCACCAGGCACAGCATGGTGCGCATGGTATTGTTCACCAGCTCTCAAGTTCTGTGCAGGCTCTTTCCGATTAAGATACAATCCTCTTTTATGGGAATAGTATGGCCATAAATACGTATTCTTATTACATGACATTACATGACCTTGCATGACATTACATAACATCACATAACATGACATGACACATTACAAAACATATTACATAACACATTGCATGTACCATTTCATAACACACTACAAAACACATCATATTACATAACACACTACAGAACACATTACACAACACAATACGTAACATAACACATAACACATTACATAGAATCACATAACACATTACAGATGACTGCATAACATTATTTGGAACAATACATAACATAGGATGATATAATTTCATTACATTTCATTGCATTACATTGCATTACGTTGCATTACATACATTCGTTTATTCATATATGTTCAAGATATTCATATCATCTATGATGGGGAGGCCCCGGTGCCTGGAACCCCGTACGCCGGGCCTCCGCACCGGCCATCGGGCCGCTGGTGGCGCCCATGGCGCCCGTGGCGCCCGTGGCGGCGCCACTGGCGGTTCCGGCCATGGCGGGGGCTCCCAGGGGGTTGGGGAAGATGCTCGGGGGGAAATTTGAGCAGCCAATTTTCGAACAAATGATGGTTGATGATGGTTGATGATGGTGGATGATGATGGTTGATGATGACAGGGGGATCATAATGGATGGTGGATGGTTGCTAAGGCCTGATGAATGTTTGAAGTATTTTGAAGTCATTTTTTTTTTGGGGGGACTTATGCCGCACCAGTAGTGGGTCTTGTATCCAAGGGCTTGGGCCACTTCTCAATTCTTTTTTTTCTCCCACAGGCTGCACCAGCTCAATTTCATGGCGCTGGGCCATTGGTGCCAAAGAGACTAGGCAGCAGTGAACCCATGTTTTTGGCAGACACATGTTGAGGGCTGCAAGAGAGAGGGATGTTGGCTCAGTGAGGGGTAATTTCTCGGAGTAGCTGGCTGACATGTGGGACCTGTTGCCCTAAGGTTGAATTTGCAAGGGATATATCCCGCAAATTGAGGCATCCCTGCTGCCGTACAGATGCCGCGGTGGTGGTGTGTGTGTAAGGCAGTGCCCAATTGTATGGAAGGAACTCCTACTGTCAGGGCGTGCGTTTCTCTTTGAAATCAAAAAAATCCAGGGTTGTTGACAGTTTCCATTTATAAATCCATATAAATCCCACCGATGGAGTTGAGACCTTTGACATTTCCACGACAATACCAGTAATTACCATTCATGCAGTGCGGTCGCGGATTGACCCACTCAGATCTTTCAATCTGCAGCCTTTGGCTCTTCCACAGCTTCTGTGCCACACTCTGAGCAAAGCCCACAGGCCTTGGGTGAAGGGAGGCGATTTTTGATTTGAAACCGTTGTTTTGTTGTTTTTCGTGCACGTGATTTCTCCTGATATATGAATGGAGGGTATATTTTTTTAGGAATTTTTATTGTTTTTTTTTGGATTTTTTTTTGTTTTTCAGTCTGGAGCAGCTTTCCCTGCTATTTGGTGCTCTTTGGAGCTAAAATCTGTGTTTTGCATGCATTTTGGAGCTAGGATCTCTCATTTGCGCGCCCACTTGGCTTTTGGCTTCAAGTGCCCACTTGGCTTTTTGGCTTTTGGCTTTTTGGCTTTTGGCTTTTGGCTTTGCTCGGGCTTTCTTTTGGCTTTTAGCTTTTGGCTTCACTTTGGCTCTTGGCTTTTGGTTATTGGCTTTTGGTTATTGGCTTTTGGCTTTTTGGCGTTTAGCTTTTTTGGGCCATGGCTTTTGGCTTTGGCTGTTGGCTTTGGGCTTTGGCTTCACTTGGCTTCTGGTTTTTGGCTTTCTGTGGCCCCTTATCTCCTCGATAAGTCAAGAAAAGACATAATCTGGCTTTTGGCTTTTTGGCTTCACTTGGCTTTTGGCTTTGGCTTCACCTGGCTTTTGGTGTTTGGTTTTAGCTTCACTTGGCTCTTGGCTATATTGTTTTGAACTACTCCATGTTACGGGAAAGAAGGGAAATAAGACTCTTATTTCCCTTAATATACGTAAAAAAAAGATACATAATGATAGTTGAACTACGTATTCCATGCTTCGGGAAATGAACGCAGGAAAATAAGACCTTTTGGCTTCGGCTTCACTTGGCTCTTGGCTTTGGCTTCACCTGGCTTTTGGCTTTTGGCTTATATATGTAAACCCTAAATAAACCCTAAACCAAACCCTGCATATATATATATATATTTATATTAAATACACGTGTAAACGCACTGATCTACATATACATATAGTCATGATTAGTCATGCATATATACCTTTCTACATCTACAATTTGTAGTTTGCACATCGTGTATTTCCAAAAATAAATGAACACTTCAATAAAAAACAATGAAAACCATGTAAAAATCAATGAACAACTCTGGAACCAGAAATGAAAACAAGTGAAAACTGAATGAACACCATGCACAAATTGAAGAAAAACATAGAAAAAATGAAGAAAACCATTGAAAAATGGAAGAACACCATGGAATATCGAAGAAACCATAGAACAATTGAAGAAAACCATAGAAAAATTGAAGAAAACCATGGAACAATTGAAGAAAACTCGATAGAAACCATTGAAAAAAAACTGAAACCAGTCGAAAAATTGATGAACAGTGCGAATGAGAGATTTTAGCTACAAAATGCAGCAAATGAGTGATTTTAGTTGCAAAAACCAAGGAAGGGAGCCTGGACGACCAAAAAAAAAAACAAACCAAAAAATAAAAAAAACACAAAAAAATGCGCACCCATTAATAAGTGTCCTAACTAGCCCTTTTAGGGAAAAAAAACGCATGTCAGGACACTTGTTGAATCTGGACTCCAACTATATTCATGTCATTTGGGTTGAGCAATTGTTGCAAGAAACTCAGACGTTTACTCGTGGGTTTCTATGCATGCTTGTGCGAGAGGAACTAAAACTCTTTTCAACAAGTGTCCGGACTAGCGGGTTTCTATGCATGCTTGTGCGAGAGGAACTAAAACTCTTTTCAACAAGTGTCCGGACTAGCCCTTTTCCATCATTGAAAACCCTTGTTTCAGGACACTTGTTGGATCTGGTGTGTATTGGCTTCTGGTGGTTGTGGCATCGCTTGGCTTTTGGCTTTTGGCTTTGGTTTCACTTGGTTTTTGGCCTTGGCCGTTTTGGCTTTTATGCAGATATCTAATGGAAAATGAAGGAAAACTAAGGGAAAATGAAGGAACACTAACGGAAAATGAAAGAAACCAATTGGAAAATAAAGAAAAACTGATAGAAAACTAATGGAACAACTATTGGAAAATGAAGGAAAACTAATGGAAAATGAAGGAAAAGTAATGGAAAATGAAGGAAAACTAATGGAAAATGAAGGAAAAGTAATGGAAAATGAAGGGAAACTAATGGAAAATGAAGGAAAACTATTGGAAAATGAAGGAAACGTGATGGAAAATGAAGGAAAACTATTGGAAAATGAAGGAAACGTGATGGAAAATGAAGGGAAACTATTGGAAAATGAAGGAAACGTGATGGAAAATGAAGGGAAACTAATAGAAAATGAATGCAAACTAGTAGAAAATGAAGGAAAACTAATAGAAAATGAAGGAAAACTATTAAAAAATGAAGGAAAACTAATGGAAAATGGAAGAAAACTAATAGGAAACCAAAAAACAAAAAAAATCCTAAAAAAAATCTTCGCCCTATATGAATTCATATGAGTCATATGACATCATATGACCATCCAAACCCGTGGTGCTCTGACCTCCTTAGCTCACCAATCCTCACCAGGAATGGTCGGAATGATGAAGGTCTTCTTCAGCTGGGCTCCATTGGCATCTGCCAGTTGCCTCATCACCTCCAAGGTGAGAAAGTCCTAGTTTTTTTTGGGTACCCTTCCTGGAATACTCTGGATTTTGGGTGGTTAAAGGTGGTTAAACAGATGTGGAGGATGTGGATCTGACTGGATGAAGCTTTGAGTTACCCAGCAAACGAGTCTCCAAATTGAAGCACACTTGTGCGATCTCGCTATGAAAGCAGGTTTGCGCCAACTTTCCAGAGTTTGGAAGGCGCCACGAACTTGTGTGCATCACCAGACGCATCCTGTCACATCTTTTACAGCGATTTACAGTCGAAAGCCGAGCAGAGACCATGGTTTCATGATGTTTCATGATATTTCATGCCTAATTTTGCACCACACGAGATTCCAAGCACTTCGTATGCTACCTGCAGCAACCTCCTCCGATGCTTTCAAGATCCGGTGAGGATACAATTCAGAGATGTCGTCGGGGAGGAGTACCTGCACGCCGCACAGCACGAAGCCGCGTGCTTGAAACGTGCCGAGGCGCTACGGCTCGGTGACGTGATGGGAGATTTCGAAAGTCACAACATAGTGATCATCTGGAAATATTTGGAATAATTCAAAATACATCAACATACCGTAAAAATATCCATAAAATACCTAAATCATCCGAAATCTCACTTTGATGTTTTTATATGTTTTTATGACATATGATTGTAGGATATTGTAGGTGCATGGAGATTCCTCAAGATCCGAATATCTCGTGGTGTCCAATAAACCCATCGTCCAAAATCCAAAAATATCGGGCGCTCCTCGAAGTTGTGCCACCGTCAGCCTATTGCGTGTTTTTGAGCGTGCTGTCCAGTGTGATTGAAGAGACTTGTCTGACCGAATCAACAGATTCAACATAGATTGCTGCCCTGCTTCGAAACCTGAGAGGACTTCCACCATTGGTGCGGAAACACTGGCAACATTTCTGTAGCTGCCACATTCATGCCGGACAAGACCCAGTTCTACGACCCCGGTGACTCAATTGCAAGTTGCCGTCAGTGCGTATGTCGCTTTGTTTTGCAACGCAACTTGCATTCTGTTGCTGCTTTCGGCAAAAGGGTGTGCAGCTTAGCCGCTTAGCCGGCCAGAAGAATCTGGATCCGAGCGGCCTGACATCAGGTGCTTGTGATGCTGGCTGGTCTCAGTGGCAGGCATTTTGTTACCGCTTCCATCTCGCTACTTGTCCGCATGCAGAGCTTGCGAATCCGAAATTGAAGGTATGAAGTATGAAGGTTCAAGATGTTTGAGTAAAAAAATATTTGGAACACGTTCAACCGCTGGTTTTACATGGTTTTACTGGTTTTTGTGGTGTCGGTCATCGCTCCGTGGTGTATCCGTTCAAAGGGGCGGAGTTGACCGCAGGATCTGAAGACTTGGAGGGAAGCTGAAGAAATTTGTTTGGCGCAGGACTCCCACTTGGAGTCTTGGTTTGCAACTGGTCCAACTGGTCCAACTGGTCCAACTGCTCCAAGTGGTCACAGCCGGTGCTGTTTCTGGGATGTTTTTCAAACCACCATGGCAGGATCATAAATGAAACGTTCAGCAATTTTACAGAAATGCATCGTTGGCATCTTTCAGTTTGTGCAGCCGGCTCGCTGGAGGCCTCGGTTCATTCGATGGAGGAGAACCGCTTCGTTCATCTTCTGGCTCATGGCTTGAAGGTTTGGATTGGTTACCACCATCAGCAAGAGCTCCTTGGCTGCCTTGGCTATCATTTCCGTTGGCTCATTAGATGAGTTTCGTCCGTTTGAGGAAATTCATAATCCACCTTTCAGACATCGGAGCAACCATTGAAACTGGCAGAAGTCCACATGACCGAGGCGTTTTGCTTGGACCGACAAGTCCCAGGAAGATTTCACGAACTTTGTCACCAGTCTCCAAAGGGTTTTGGTTCGGAGTTGAACTTGTGGTGTTGTTTGAGCTTGACTTATTGTTGATTGCGTTGACTCCAACGCTTCTAAGCTTCAGCAAGTTAGAATGCTTTGGCACCTCAAAACGAACATCTAGGACTTCCTGTAACTTCCCTATCTTCTCTGGTGTCACAGTAGGGTCTCTCGCTCTTCGGCTTGAATATCTTTCAAGCAGAGTGTTGTTAACCATCAGGCGACACAAGCTGGCATTAAAATCAAATATCTGACTGGATCTACATACATCTCAATACATGTATACACACATACATATGTACTGTACTAGAATATAGATATGATTGCATATCATCTATAATAGATCTGTGTATACAGAGTCTGCATGTACTTCAAACAGAGAGCGAATGAGGCGAAGAACTGCAGCGGTAGATCACACGAGGCAGCCTTTGAAGTTGAAATCAGAACAGAAAGCCTTGTATGACCATGGCATGGATGTCAATTATTCAATTTCGCATGGCTATGCGCCCTGTGAAGATACTGTGGACGATTCCGTAGTTGCAAGGGCACCCAGGGCACCCAGGGCACCTGTGTCGCTCCAGGCAGATTGCCAAGCAGATCAAGTACAACAGCAATGGCACCGCTCCAGTGGGGCTGAGCGTAGCCCATTTGTTGGGACCTTGGGGACCTTGGGGACCTTGGGGACCTTGGGGAGTGTGCCTTTGGACTGCCCAGTGTGCCAAAGGGACATCTTTGGACGTTGACGGTTAGTTGACATAATTGACTTAGTTGACCTGAGTCTTCTCAGGTCTGCAAGCGAAATGCAAAGCGGGTCTCAACAGTGCGCAGCATCTCTGCCGAACGTGCCTTCGGATCGTCAAATGTGGGGACATGCTGTCTTGAATGAAACTTGGAATTGTGGAAGGGTACAGGAACTATGAATCTCTATGACGACTTCACATTTGTTCATGTCAGGCTGCAAATGCAGTGAGCACCTGAATGTTGACTGTCCTGAGATGAGTGCAACGTGGATATTTTCCACGTGAGCCTCCAAAAACTGTAAAAGATACCAAAGTCAAAACTTGGAAGATTTAACAGACATGGTGGCACAGACCGGGTTGCTCATGCAGACAGGCCTCCTGAAAGAAGAGTGGGAGCTTCTTCGTCTGGGTCTTCATGATCTTCCATCTCTGGATCAGAAGCTGTTACCTCTGGAGGCACGTGCGTTCGGAGTGGCAATGCGGATTGTGATGCCGATTGTTTTTTGGAGCGACTTGAATCAGCGACGAGTCGTCAGCCTGTGCGCAAATCGCTTGTGCACTTCCCCTGTGCCCGGATGGTTCCATCCAACATGTCACACTTATCACAAACATGGGGGAAATCAAACTTGATGTACCATGCTGCACTATGTTTCTCAATGTGTCTCTGCCCGAGAATTTTGGCACAAGTATCCAAGCGTCGCAGTAAACATTGCCACAGATCGCAAAACAGCGTACCGCGCCGCTTTCTGGAGATGTCGCAGCATGTACGTGCTGAAACGAGACGGTAGCAAGCAGGAGGTGAAGTTCGATTTGCCATCATGGCCCAACGCCTTCAGCCGCTCTGTGAAGGTGTTGGATCCAGATTACATCGATCCAGTTCCAGTGACACAGGGGAAAGTCATTGAAGGTTTCTACAATGGCATCGCAACAGCTGAGCATTGATACCTGTAGCTGCTTGAGAGACTTGTGCCTACATGTCTCAAAAACAACGTCACTGACTTCAGCATTCTGGCTTGCCCGCATTGCCGTGTCAAATCTGGATCATGTCAGGTGCCTGAAACCTCACTGTTGCTCTATTTTTCGCAAAGCTGACGAATACACCGATGAAGGGCAGAGCTTCCTCTTGGCGATGAGGACGTTTGTGGAGTTTGAAGGTTTCTACAATGGCATCGCAACAGCTGAGATTGATACCTTAGCTGCAGAGACTTGTGCCTACATGTCTCAAAAACATCCTGACTTCAGCATTCTGGCTGCCCGCATTGTGTCAAATCTCCACAAGAACACCTCAGACTCCTTCTATCAGACATGCAAATGTCTGTACGAATACACCGATGATCAGGGCAGGGCAGCTTCTCTCTTGGCTGAGGACGTTTGGGAGTTTGTGAAAGCGAATGCAGAGCAGTTGGATGCGGCTGTGGACTACAAGAGAGACTTTGGCTACGACTACTTTGGTTTCAAGACCCTTGAGAAATCCTATCTCCTTCGAGTGAATGGAAAGAGTGTGGAACGACCACAGCACTTGATCATGCGCGCTGCATGTGGCATCCATTGTGGCGATTTGGCCGCGACACTGGAAACCTATGACCTCATGTCCAAGAAGTTCTTCACACATGCTACTCCAACCCTCTTCAACTCGGGCACACCCAAGCCACAGATGTCTTCCTGCTTTCTCCTGAAGATGAAGGAGGACAGCATTGAGGGAATCTATGACACCTTGAAGCAGTGTGCCCTGATCTCAAAGTCAGCTGGAGGGATTGGAGTTGCCATCTCCAACATCCGTGCCAGTTCATCCTACATCCGTGGTACCAATGGGCACAGCAACGGGCTTGTTCCCATGCTGCGGAATTTCAATGAGACTGCCCGTTATGTGGATCAGGGTGGTGGCAAGCGAAAGGGATCCTTTGCCATGTACTTGGAGCCATGGCATGCAGATGTCTATGACTTCATTGAGCTCCGCAAGAACCATGGAAAGGAGGAGCAGAGAGCTCGAGATCTTTTCTTGGGTCTTTGGATCCCAGATCTCTTCATGAAACGAGTGAAAGAAAACTTGGACTGGACATTGTTTTGTCCCAATGAGGCCTACGACCCTGAGACTGGCAAAGGCTTGATGGATTTGTGGGGTGAGGAGTTTGAGACGCTCTACACCAAGCTGGAAGCTGATGGAAAAGGCCGAAAGACCGTGAGGGCCCAGAACCTGTGGTTCCGAATCCTTGAGGCTCAGATGGAAACTGGAACTCCCTACATGCTGTACAAAGATCACTGCAATCGGAAGTCCAACCAGCAAAATCTCGGCACCATTCACTGCTCCAATCTTTGCACAGAGATCATTGAGTACACTTCTCCAGATGAAGTCGCAGTTTGCAACCTTGCATCCATTGCATTGTCGTCCTTTGCTAGCTCAAAAGGAGAAGCATATGACTTTCAGAAGCTCTATGAAGTGACCAAGGTGGTCACAAAGAATCTGAACAAAGTCATTGACCGCAACTATTACCCCGTGGAAGAAGCCCGTCGCTCCAACATGCGTCATCGTCCTGTGGGTCTGGGTGTTCAAGGTCTTGCAGATGCCTTTTTGATGATGAAGCTGCCCTTTGAGAGTGACGAAGCAAGAAAGCTCAACGAAGACATTTTCGAGACCATCTACTTTGCTGCATGCGAGGCTTCTTGCGAACTGGCGGAAATCCATGGGCCATATGAGACCTATGCAGGCAGCCCAGCCAGCAAAGGTCTCTTGCAATTCGATCTCTGGGGTCGCGTTCCTAGCAGTGGACGCTGGGATTGGCAGGGTCTGAAGGCTGGGAGAACAGGGAGAACAGGGAGAACGTGGAGAACGGGGAGAACGAGATGATTCGAATTGATTGGAATCGATTTGATTTCAACTTTATATTAACCATGCTTTCAGATGCTTTCAGATGCTTTCAGATGCTTTCAGCTCATTTTCATTCATTTCAATGTTCAATTTTTTTCCAACAATCTAACACATTCTGAACCATGAAAAGACTTGTTTCGCAGGCAAAGATCGCAGTGCACGGACTTCGCAACTCGCTGTTGTTGGCCCCGATGCCGACTGCAAGCACAGCACAGATCTTGGGCAACACGGAGTCGTTCGAGCCCTATACCCAGAACCTTTACGTGCGCCGCGTGTTGTCTGGAGAGTTTGTCCAAGTGAATCGACACCTTCTGAAGGACCTCATCACTAGAGGTCTTTGGAATGATGAGACACGGATGAAGCTCATTGCTCACAACGGTAGTGTGCAACGCCTGGATTTACCGCAGGACCTGAAGGATCTCTACAAGACAGTTTGGGAGATTAAGCAGAGGCGTGTGCTAGACATGGCCGCAGATCGCGGGGCTTACATCGACCAATCGCAGTCCTTGAATCTTAGCTTGGACTCAGCGTTGTCATGCGTTCATGCGTTCAGTGTATGAGAGATGTTGATGTTGGAGATGTTAGAGATGTTAGAGATGTTAGAGATGTTGATGTTGGAATTAGAGTCAGGTCGTCCCGGTCAAAGTTCTGTTCGATCTGTTTGTTGCCTAGTGTCCACTCAAAGTCTACAATGTACTACAAGATTGAAATCCAGGCGACAGACATGATAGATCCTCGTGACCTGGAGATATTTGACCGATTTTCGTAGATTTTCGGCACTTTTGGGGATTGATGTAGTGAAGTAGTGAGCATCTTACGACCTAGGAATATCCACATGGTGGACGCCAGCACTGCGAAGCTGTCATCCATGCACTTCCACGGATGGGAACTTGGTTCGAAGACAGGTCTCTACTACCTGCGCACGAAGGCAGCAGCAGATGCCATCAAGTTCACAGTGGATGTAGATACCTTGAAGAGAACCGGCTCTGACTCTGAGGGCAGCACTTGTACCGCAAATACTGCGAAGTCGAGTGTGAAGAGTTCTGACTCGCTTGAAAAGTCTGTAATTCAATCCTTGAAAGCCGACGGACCAAAATATGAGTGCGTCAATTGCAGTTCTTAAATTCGTTTTCGCAGTGGGGAAGCTGCAACATGTCCACAACGTGGATCATGTCTGGGGTGCCTGAAAAAGCACTGTTGCGCTCGGGCATTTTTCGCATAGCGACGTCGCAGTGCTGTACCATTGCGACAGCTGGCAGTAGTGACCTTGTCTCACTTTGGGGTGCGTGGTCATTCATTTGGGAGATAAGTTGAATGTGTTGGAGGTGTGTTTCTACAAATATGGCAGATTCAAAGGTCTTGTTGATCAGAGAATCCTCTCTGTGCCCTCTTGTATGGCCACGTCGAATTGGATGCCAAAAGTACAGGTTCTTTGCAGACGTGAGAGTATGTTGGGGTGACAAAATGAATCCTTCTCTGCTTCCGCATTGCTTTCTCTGTCTTCTCTGCATTCTTTTGCGACTTGCAGGCTGCACTTGCACATTGCGACATTTCTCTTGTTCTTGGGGAAGTGTGAAGATGAGACAGAGACCAGTGACCGATTCTTTGGATTAGCGGTCATTGATCTCGGGTCAGCACTTGATGCGGAGCCAATTTGCGTTTGCGTAGGCTCTCGTGCCTGATGCCAAGAATCAGAGTGGTGTGGACTTCCAGGCAGGCTCTTGCTTCAAAGCATTATCATGTGACAGGCAGATTCATGATGATTGATGTGTGATATAGATACTTGTTAGTGCAACAGTTCCTTCTTGCAGTATGTCCTTGGAGAATGACATGGCGGAGACATTTTGATACATTTTCCATCATTTTCCCAATCTGACTGAAGGTTGTCATGAAATGCTTTGTTCTTACCGAAGTGAAGTGACAAATTTAGCTATGCTACTACTTCCACTTCATGATATCTCAAAGTTTTATGCGATTTGAGCCCTTTGGCTGGAAGTCTAAGAGTGTCGCAAGCATCGCCTAAACGCTTCTTGACTAAGATGTACGTGCTGAAGCGAGACGGTTTGAAGCAGGAGGTGAAGTTCGATGCCATCACCCAACGCCTTCAGCCACTCTGTGAAGGTTTGGATCCAAATTACATCGATCCAGTTCCAGTGACACAGAAAGTCATTGAAGGTTTCTACAATGGCATCGCAACAGCTGAGATTGATACCTTAGCTGCAGAGACTTGTGCCTACATGTCTCAAAAACATCCTGACTTCAGCATTCTGGCTGCCCGCATTGCCGTGTCAAATCTCCACAAGAACACCTCAGACTCCTTCTATCAGACATGCAAATGTCTGTACGAATACACCGATGATCAGGGCAGGGCAGCTTCTCTCTTGGCTGAGGACGTTTGGGAGTTTGTGAAAGCGAATGCAGAGCAGTTGGATGCGGCTGTGGACTACAAGAGAGACTTTGGCTACGACTACTTTGGTTTCAAGACCCTTGAGAAATCCTATCTCCTTCGAGTGAATGGAAAGAGTGTGGAACGACCACAGCACTTGATCATGCGCGCTGCATGTGGCATCCATTGTGGCGATTTGGCCGCGACACTGGAAACCTATGACCTCATGTCCAAGAAGTTCTTCACACATGCTACTCCAACCCTCTTCAACTCGGGCACACCCAAGCCACAGATGTCTTCCTGCTTTCTCCTGAAGATGAAGGAGGACAGCATTGAGGGAATCTATGACACCTTGAAGCAGTGTGCCCTGATCTCAAAGTCAGCTGGAGGGATTGGAGTTGCCATCTCCAACATCCGTGCCAGTTCATCCTACATCCGTGGTACCAATGGGCACAGCAACGGGCTTGTTCCCATGCTGCGGAATTTCAATGAGACTGCCCGTTATGTGGATCAGGGTGGTGGCAAGCGAAAGGGATCCTTTGCCATGTACTTGGAGCCATGGCATGCAGATGTCTATGACTTCATTGAGCTCCGCAAGAACCATGGAAAGGAGGAGCAGAGAGCTCGAGATCTTTTCTTGGGTCTTTGGATCCCAGATCTCTTCATGAAACGAGTGAAAGAAAACTTGGACTGGACATTGTTTTGTCCCAATGAGGCCTACGACCCTGAGACTGGCAAAGGCTTGATGGATTTGTGGGGTGAGGAGTTTGAGACGCTCTACACCAAGCTGGAAGCTGATGGAAAAGGCCGAAAGACCGTGAGGGCCCAGAACCTGTGGTTCCGAATCCTTGAGGCTCAGATGGAAACTGGAACTCCCTACATGCTGTACAAAGATCACTGCAATCGGAAGTCCAACCAGCAAAATCTCGGCACCATTCACTGCTCCAATCTTTGCACAGAGATCATTGAGTACACTTCTCCAGATGAAGTCGCAGTTTGCAACCTTGCATCCATTGCATTGTCGTCCTTTGCTAGCTCAAAAGGAGAAGCATATGACTTTCAGAAGCTCTATGAAGTGACCAAGGTGGTCACAAAGAATCTGAACAAAGTCATTGACCGCAACTATTACCCCGTGGAAGAAGCCCGTCGCTCCAACATGCGTCATCGTCCTGTGGGTCTGGGTGTTCAAGGTCTTGCAGATGCCTTTTTGATGATGAAGCTGCCCTTTGAGAGTGACGAAGCAAGAAAGCTCAACGAAGACATTTTCGAGACCATCTACTTTGCTGCATGCGAGGCTTCTTGCGAACTGGCGGAAATCCATGGGCCATATGAGACCTATGCAGGCAGCCCAGCCAGCAAAGGTCTCTTGCAATTCGATCTCTGGGGTCGCGTTCCTAGCAGTGGACGCTGGGATTGGCAGGGTCTGAAGGCTGGGAGAACAGGGAGAACAGGGAGAACGTGGAGAACGGGGAGAACGAGATGATTCGAATTGATTGGAATCGATTTGATTTCAACTTTATATTAACCATGCTTTCAGATGCTTTCAGATGCTTTCAGATGCTTTCAGATGCTTTCAGATGCTTTCAGATGCTTTCAGATGCTTTCAGATGCTTTCAGATGCTTTCAGATGCTTTCAGATGCTTTCAAATGCTTTCAGATGCTTTCAGATGCTTTCAGATGCTTTCAGATGCTTTCAGATGCTTTCAGATGCTTTCAGATGCTTTCAGATGCTTTCAGATGCTTTCAGCTCATTTTCATTCATTTCAATGTTCAAATTTTGCCCAACAAACACATTCTGAACCATGAAAAGACTTGTTTCGCAGGCAAAGATCGCAGTGCACGGACTTCGCAACTCGCTGTTGTTGGCCCCGATGCCGACTGCAAGCACAGCACAGATCTTGGGCAACACGGAGTCGTTCGAGCCCTATACGCAGAACCTTTACGTGCGCCGCGTGTTGTCTGGAGAGTTTGTCCAAGTGAATCGACACCTTCTGAAGGACCTCATCACTAGAGGTCTTTGGAATGATGAGACACGGATGAAGCTCATTGCTCACAACGGTAGTGTGCAACGCCTGGATTTACCGCAGGATCTGAAGTATCTCTACAAGACAGTTTGGGAGATTAAGCAGAGGCGTGTGCTAGACATGGCCGCAGATCGCGGGGCTTACATCGACCAATCGCAGTCCTTGAATCTTAGCTTGGACTCAGCGTTGTCATGCGTTCATGCGTTCAGTGTATGAGAGATGTTGATGTTGGAGATGTTAGAGATGTTGATGTTGGAATTAGAGTCAGGTCGTCCCGGTCAAAGTCCTGTTCGATCTGTTTGTTGCCCAGTGTCCACTCAAAGTCTGCAAGATTGAAATCCAGGCGACAGACATGATAGATCCTCGTGACCTGGAGATATTTGACCGATTTTCGTAGATTTTCGGCACTTTTGGGGATTGATGTAGTGAAGTAGTGAGCATCTTACGACCTAGGAATATCCACATGGTGGACGCCAGCACTGCGAAGCTGTCATCCATGCACTTCCATGGATGGGAACTTGGTTTGAAGACAGGTCTCTACTACCTGCGCACGAAGGCAGCAGCAGATGCCATCAAGTTCACAGTGGATGTAGATACCTTGAAGAGAACCGGCTCTGACTCTGAGGGCAGCACTTGTACCGCAAATACTGCGAAGTCGAGTGTGAAGAGTTCTGACTCGCTTGAGAAGTCTGTAATTCAATCCTTGAAAGCCGACGGACCAAAATATGAGTGCGTCAACTGCAGTTCTTAAATTCGTTTTCGCAGTGGGGAAGCTGCAACATGTCCACAACGTGGATCATGTCTGGGGTGCCTGAAAAAGCACTGTTGCGTTGCGCTCGGGCATTTTTCGCATAGCGACGTCGCAGTGCTGTACCATTGCGACAGCTGGCAGTAGTGACCTTGTCTCACTTTGGGGTGCGTGGTCATTCATTTGGGAGATAAGTTGAATGTGTTGGAGGTGTGATGAGGTGTGTTTCTACAAATATGGCAGATTCAAAGGTCTTGTTGATCAGAGAATCCTCTCTGTGCCCTCTTGTATGGCCACATCGAATTGGATGCCAAAAGTACAGGTTCTTTGCAGACGTGAGAGTATGTTGGGGTGGAGAAAAAAGAGTTTCAATCACTGCACCTTTCGCAAGATCTGTAGCTTTTCCTTTTTTCTGAAATACACATCCGACAGGAAATCACCATGTGCTGCAGGAACTTGCAAATTCGTCGGCCACGGAGACATTGAGTACCTGGATGCAGGCAAGGACATTTTTTTGAACATATATATATATATATATATATACATATATATATATATATATAATAACGCACCTGACATGGCATTAATGAAATCCACGAGGGAAATGAAATATAAAGAAACAAATCTGCTTTTCAGCTAACTGACATGGCAAGCTGCACAACTCTAAACCCTAGTTAAAAAACACAAATTTCCAGCTCTTGGCACGGAAACTGCACATGCCTAACAAGCCGTACTATGCTGATGCTGCTGACCAGCCTCCTGTGAATGCCAGCTTACTTTGGCAACTGCTTGCTCTTTTAGCTGCTGCTTGGCACTGCTGACGGAGCCCTCGCAGGCTGGCAGCTCCAAGCCACAACTGTTTGGAAGACACAAATTTCCAGTGCTGCGCGAATTTGACCACCTTATGGACTTTGACCCTGCAATACGTAACGGTAGGCTCTTGCTGCCGGCTGCTACTTTGGGTTAACTGCTTGCGACAAAATACGGGCTTGAAGCTGGAAGCTGAACTGGAAGGAATTGATTGGTCCACGGGCCTAACGTCCCTTCTGCTAGTTCATTTTGCTCTTGTTTGCAAGTGTCCACATGTTCCTGCTGCCCTGCTCCTGCTGTAAGCTGCTTGGCTGCTGGTTGTTGCAATGATAACGCCTAAAAAATCCCTGACAGGAGGCAGAATGACCACGAACAAACCCTAGTTAAAAAACACAAATTTCCAGCTCTTGGACGCGGCTGACAAAATATGGCCTGCTGGTCATTGCTGGTCACGTGGCTTGCAAGGCGGCACAGCCTGTTAAGTGACAGGTTGAGTAATGATCCACGATGTTTCTGCACCTCACAGAAACTTGTGCATGGTGCTGCAATGCTCGGCCTACTAACTGTAGGGCACCTCTGGCACTGGGGAAGCCTTGATACTCTGAAACTCCCTTCTGGCCAAGCAACAACCCATGGCATGCGACCGATCCAGCCAACGTTTTCTTCTTTCCTCGAAAACGGCCTAGTCCCCTGCTTCCCTCTCGCTTGACAACTACAAGCTGCTTTACTTGAAAGGTTCTGGCAACTGCAACTCAGCAGCTGGCGGAATGCTGAATGCTGCTGCTGCAGTGCGAACCTGCATGGTGAACGTGTGTCATGGCCCACTGCTGGAACCATCATGCTGAGCTGATTTCCCCAAGTAGACCTACTTGGGCTGGCAACAAAACACCATGAGAACGGGCTACAAACCCAACCTCCAAACATGGCCAAGCTGCTGCCTGCACTGACTGGATGTCATCTGTACTGCTCACTGGACTCAAAGCCTTTCCAAGGCCATACTGCCGACAACTCCATAGCTGGCCCAAGGGTGGAGGAGGACAGGCTCTGTTGATGTCATTTCACCAAGCGAGCCAACGCAATTAACGCAACAGGGTTTGCAAAGACGTCAGGAACATGGGCAACTTGGCATTTTCAATCCTGCACAAAAGTCTTCATACCAAGTAGGAGAGTGTACTTGCCCCATATTGTTTCTGTGTATTGGAGGTTCTTTCACAACCCAGAGCAACACAACCTTGTTTGGCCCTTTACACTCTACACAACCTTTTGCACACAGTTCAGATGCCCGCAGCGGCTGCTTCAATTCTGGCAGCGGGACCACAGGGACCGTGTCGTGCCCATGGGTCAAGCGAATTGCAGCTGTGGTGGCTGCAGTGTGGGAGCTCAGGTTCAAACTTCAATCAAAATGTCTTGTCTTGAAGTCCCACCTTGACATGTTGTGCTGACATCAAGTCTGCATGGAATCAAACCGTAGTGAAAGGCAAATGCGAATGACAGAAACTTAAACTATTGTGGACCAAACACAACCCCTGTGTATATCTTTTGTCGATCTGCCATCCAGGCAAAGAAGTTCAGGTGCGCTGAGCATGTTTGCTGGAAACATCTTTGATGGTGGGTGATTGGTTGCATTGTGAGCTTAATTGTCGCAGGATCTAGACTAGAATTCATTGGAAATTGAAGTTTTCTGTTGTGTACATGGGACTGCTGGCCACTGCTGGCGACTGGCCAGGTGGTTCTACAAGGGGATGACCCGGTAACTCGGTTTGTATGTTTTTGTTGGGTAACTCGGCAGTTCTGGTCATTTGGTGTATGATAATTCGTTGAATACCAGCTTTGACTGGCAAAGGTGCAAAAACTCAACAATGATTGAACATGATTGAACTAATCTGGCTGAATGACGAAGAGGGACATGCGAAAGATTTGAAGCCTCGGCACCAAGCTCCACATCGATGGGGATTCTCTGACCCAGGCCGTGCCGAGCTCTTCGAGTACCGCTGGTCCTCCGCGGAATCCCAGTGCACCGAGTGTGGTCGGGTCGCCCACTGCTCCGAGTCTGGCGGCCGCTGGGGCAGACCTTTCGAGCTCAAGCCCGGACAGCCTCAAAGGCCTGGAAGGGCTGGAGTTCTGTAAGGCACAAATAAGGATAAAAAGGACAAACATAAGGCACAAAGGTGAGAAATCTGTCGGAAGTGAAATTGGAAGGCTGGAAATTGCAGACCTCCTTGTTGCAATAGACATCTTTGAAGGCAGAATTGCAATACAGCCTCAGCGCAGCAGATGCTGCATTTGTTATGGGAGTTTGAATGTGATGACCAAATGTCAATAGTAGGATTTCCAGCAGTTCTCTAAGGCATAAAGGTTCGGGTTTTTGCCATATACAGTAGTATATATATAATATAATATAATATAATATGATATAATATAATATAATATAACATAATATAATATAATATTATAGTTCATAATTAGAACCTGCGTTTGAAGAAATGCTCGCATTCTGCGCAAGACCAGCCCCGCCAGGGCGGCAAGCTGCGACACCTCTGTGACACTGGCCTGTTTGGGTCGATGCAAAACATTATGATTGTCTTGGAAACACCAACTGCTGCTGGGTTGGGATTTCAAAACAGATCTGTGAGATCTGCTTGACCAATGTATTCTCTGCAGGTCCATGGAAACCGTGGCAGCCCGCGGCTTAAGCAGATACTGATTAGACCCGCAGAACCAATGGTCCTTGTCCTTGAGTTTCGAGATTGAGCAGTCGAATGTAAGAATCACCACAAGTTCGAACATTTTGAATAGATTTCTTCCTCCAAATTCCTCCAACCTCATTCAAGCCCAGTTTGTCATGTCAAGTAACTTTCCACAGCGATTCAAACTTCTCATTTAATGGCATTACAGGGACAGTCATTGGGTGAGACAATTGGAGTTGTGAAATACACGGATGCACGAAACTCTCACATTTCTCAAAATGTGTTCTTCCAATACGCGCCACCATCACACAATCCTGCAACAAGAAAGCAACGGGCGAGAGCCTCAAGAGCGTGTCATCTCCTGGACAAATGCCACTCAACTCCCAGATCCACAACGCTTAACTTGGACTGAGTCTGCATCGTCATCGCAAAAAGATGGGACGCCCAGGACGGGAGCGGCTAGCAAAGGAGTCATTCATAGTGCTGTGGGGATGGTAGGATCGGACACAGGAAAGCTGACCTTGGCTCTTGAGCTGCCCAAACTCAGTTCACGGCCTGACATCCATCGGAAATGCCTGATGAACCCTGCGTTGAATTTTGGAACCCATCGCAACACAAATTCAAAGTTTGTATCGAAACACAAATTGAGTCGTGTAGGCCTGCGCCTGGACAGCTATCTTCCAAGGTCAATCTCTCAGATGAGGATGAAGTAATTCGCTCATGGCAACACTGGCCCCATGTCCTGAGGGCAAGAGCGAGCCACTGGGTAATGCCAAGCAGGCGGAATGTGAAAGATTCGAAATCTGTGCAAATTTTGGCATGCAGAGAATCTGAGCATGGAGAATCCCTGAACCCGCCACAACCGATGTTTCTTCGCGGCCGAGACGCTGAAGTCGATGACCGCAAACGGCCAGCCCAGCTTCAGAGAAGAAGTTGGGAAGGCACCCCTAAACCGCCTGAACCGCGGCCGACGGTGGGTGGAAAGGTTGCTGTTTTGAGACAACTGTTTGATGAGGACTGTAAAATTTCGAGCGGGACAGTTGTTTGGAAGTTCTGCTGAACATTGTCTCAGCAAACCCTCACATGTTTGATTTGCATTGTTGCGTAGATGTATTTTATTAGTTTTCTGAGTTTAGACAACACCGCTTTGAAGCGAATACCTGGTTTCGCCACAGATCTGTACTGTAAGAGTTGTTGCCCTGCACTGGCATGATAATGTTGCAGTCCAAGGGTGGGAGAAACCGACTATGGAAAAACACCTCAGCATGCTGCTGCATTGCCAGATTGAAGCTTTTTTGAGCAATGGTCCTTCTCGAAACGGAGGAAGGCCAGACATGGATGGCATTTTGTTTGGCGGCAGGATCTGATAAGGTGTTAGCAGCTAGCGTGGAGGTGGTACAGGTTTTTGCGAAAATACAAACTCAAACATGTACACGGTTGACATGAGTGTCAATACTTTCTATATATATATATATCAGTATCATAGTCACAGACACAAACACACACACACAATCACACACATTTGCATGCAACTTAGACTGCATGTATCACATCCAAAATATCCATATCAATATGTCAATATATACACAATAGAGCTTCATATTAGTATAAGGATGTAAAGGGTAGATAAATCCTTTTACCGATGGCCTGGGTTTGCCAGATCATCCCAGGCTTCCCATGGATGCTGACATGGCGGTGAAGATTATGGCCTATAAAGACCGACAGGACTGGCGATCCAGGTGTGGTAGATGGATCCTGTGCAGCTTATCATCAGTGTCATGATTTTTACTATAATTACTACTAATTATTACTACTAATTATTATTACTACTACTACTGATTATTACTATAATTACTACTGATTATTGTCTATAATAGAATTATTGCCAGTATTATTACTATTATTATTGTTACTACTATTTAATTATTACTATAATTATCCTTATTATTCTAATAGATATCCATATATTATTGATATACTATATCATATATTGTTATACTATATCACACACATATATATATATATACAGATATAATACAGCAATATGCCAGATGCTCAACCCCCTGTGATCTAAGAACACTCTTTTGCACCCATCATATACCATCACATATCATCATATATCATTATCATCATTTCCACAAGCAATGGAACTCTTCTAAACAAGATGCACTGTTCCTGTGGAAGAAGTTCAAAATATCTAGTCTTCCTTCAATGGCACAGCTTCAACATGCTTCAATGCAAGGTAATCTACTGCAATGTCACGTAATATAACATAACGTGACGTAACTTAACGTAACGTATCGTAACGTGATGTGATGTGATGCATTGTGATGCAACATAGCTATGTATATGATCTAATACAATGTATAGTGTAGACATGCGGGTATATACATGTAGATATCGCAACATCTGTATGTGTCGGTATGTGTGTATATATATGTATATATGTATATACATATATTGTATATTCTCGTATCCGTAAAATACAATGGTTTTACACAAACATTGATAAACATCTCCAGATCCCAAGATCTTGAATTCCTGACAGCGATGTGGAAATGCAGAAAGTCAGAATGTAGGTCACTTGCATGGACCGAGACTACAGTTGCCCAGTCTCCTGGTCATCGTTTAATTTCTATCTTTCCTTGAGGAGCGTCGAGGAAAGAAGAAGCTAGGGATTTCTGGCGAGGTGACCTTAGGATGTGCTGTGCGGCATGAGAATCACTCGGCTTTGTCGTCAGCTGAGTCACAGCAAGTGCCTCTAAACGTGTATTTGATGTGAATTGTCAATGAAGACCGAGTTCTCCATGAAGACGGAGTTGTTGGACCATTGTATGCAATGCTTGATATGCTTGATGAAGCAGGTTGTGAGACATGACGAATTACTCAGCTGGCAGGGGCATTAGGGGGAGTGGAATCCTGTGCTGCTTGCCAGGAAAAGTACCTATCACAAGTGCCGGGATCCAAAACGATGTTGGTCTGACCGTCTTCATTTTTTTCCTGTCAATTATGTATATATATATATAGTATCATATGCATGGCACGTAGGCATCTACGAGTTTTTGCATCGGGTCTGCCAATAATTACTTGGTCTACTTTACCGAGTGTCGGATCGGCAACCTTCTAAGAAAGCTGCTTGTTTTTCATGGCATTGGATGTTGCGGGCCTGTCTTTTGGCGCCACGTTTTGCACACATTGATTCATAGGTCGTACAGGCTTGCATGTCCTGTGGTAGCCTTGCCCACTTTGGCGGTGGGTTTGTGATTTCTAAGACATAGAAATCTGATGGTCTACTTTGTCCTTTGTGATGCAGGTATTCATATATTGTTTGGTATGGATTGTTCACTCGCTTCTGTTTTTGTCTTGGTTGAGGGCAAAAAACAATAAGCAACGAAAAGTTGTTCTGAGAAGCAAGTCTTCAAGTTTTCTTCTAATGATCTTTCTCAATCTTTCGTATAGGTCCAAGGTTTACTGGACAAACAGATCTTTCTACCGAGTTGCACCCAGGCCTGAGGTTGAAAGGGATATACCCTTTCACTTCATGTTCGAGGCCGGAAGGACTCAGATTCAGATGGACCTACCTGGGAGAAGGGTCTTGGCAGTGCCCTCGACAGCTTACGAATGTGTGCCAAGGACCAGCAAGAACTGAAACTGCTTGGATGATTTAACTTTTTTTAAACATGTGTACTGTCAAACAGATGCATGCAGATGCCAGTTCCAGCATGGACACATGTAGGGAATACAGCACGGGTGTAGGTTCTTAGACCAACTCCATCTCCAAGATTTGCAACACGACTCTGAATGGTTTCACTCAACAGGTGAATGGAGAACTCAATGAGATCGCGGTGAAAAATGCCTGCGAAAGTCCAGGGCTTGGAAGTTTGAAGTAGCGAGTTGAAGTGTCAGACCTGGCTGATGCATTTTGGAGACTCTTCGAACTTCATTCAAGCCGGAGTCATGTTCCATGGAGTGGTCAGTGCATCTGGCATGATGATGGACACTGCATGCTTGGAAGAATGGCTAGTAGCTCCCGTCCCTAGTTTGAATGAAATTTGAAACTGTCGAAAATACATCGAAACAACTGCAATATCCAAAAAGATGGCAACAAATGTCTGATCATACGGACATCAAGGTGAGACGGCCCAAGCTCTTCGGCAGAATCCTGACACGCAACTCAGCAGCAGATGGATAGTCTGAATCTGGGAACGTAAGATATTGAACAGTTTCACTTTGACAGTTGTAACAGTTGTGACAGTTGTGACACACCAGTGCAAGTATCTAAGTATCCAAATGTATCCAATGCGTTGGCCACAGTGGTTGGATAACCATCCTAGATGAAGGTGATAGGAGGGGCCGGATCTGCCTAGGGAAGTCACGTCGCAGACATCGAAGAGCGGTCAGCCACCGGAAAAGCTGCCAGCGAAGACCTGTGGGGGATCTCAGATATCAATATATATATATACATATATATATCATTATATATCAATATCTTATCTCAGAGATTGGGTGTTTAATGTGTTTATGGTTTGTTTATGGTTTGTTTATTCTGCCAAAAATCATCCTTTTTCATTGGAACATTTGGAAAGAACTGCTGTTGGAAAAGGGGGCCCCATGGCCCCATGGCTCAGATCGTTCCGGGAGTGCGACCTTCCTGCCCTATGTCTGCTTGTGTGCCGGTGGCCTCGGACCAAACGCCGACCCTGGCTGTAGATTTCATGGGTAAAACAAAGGAGGACTGGAGAGACTGGAGATCTGTAGAGACTGGAGATCTGGAGAGTTGTTTTCTATGGTTTTCTTGATTCATCTTGATTCTCTACATCGCACTTTTGAGATTTGACGTTATTGTAGTGCGATCCAAATTTTCCAAAGACCCCCATGATGAACCAAGCATAAATGACAAGCCGCACATAGAGCCGTCTTCACTCAGGAGGTTCCACGAGTGGAACAGACAAATCCGTCGATGACCAGAAGGCTGGTGAATTTGTACAAACAAGCGAACTTCTAACACTTCACAAAGCTGGGTGATGCAACCATTGTTCAGCATAAATGACAAGCCGGCACATAGAGCCGTCTTCACTCAGGAATCTGAGAGATGGAACAGAGATCCGTCATCACCTTCTGGCGGAATTTGGCAAACAAGTTAACCTTCCGAAGCACTTCAGTTTCAAGTCAGTTGGCTACATGATTCTAGTTCCTCCATTGTGGTTACATTCATCTATCCTCTCTTAGATGACAAAATCCTAGTTTCCAGTGTTTGGACATTTTCAGGATTTGGTCCAATGGTCAAAGTTCGGTTTCGTTTACCTCATGAGGGTTCGCATTCCATCACACTTGAATCTGAACCAGATTTTCGAGCATGGAAAATCAGATCAATAAGCTCAATCACCTCCGAAGTTAACCTCCGAAGCGGGAGGGAGTTTCAAGGCTCAGTTTTGTTTGATTTGCTAGTACCTCCATTGTGTTTACATCACTCTTAGAATCTCTCTTAGATGACTTGAACCCGGCCAGTGTTTGCTGCCTTTCAGGCCTTCCAATTCAAAGGTTCGGTTTCGCCCTCAGAGGGGCATTCTCACACTGAATCACAACAGATTTTCGAGCCTTGTCCCCAATAACAGAACCAAAGTGTTGAACACATTCTGAGTTGCTGGATAAACGGAAACTTGAGAGTTAGAGATTTGAAACTTGCTGTAACTTGCAGCCTTAAAATGGCGTAAAGAAACAATACGAAACATTTAAAGGAATTTGAAAGAAACTGGGCATAGAAATCATGGGAGTTCCAAATGCTTCCTGACCTGTCGCGGCTTGGAGAATCCTGACGCTGCGAAGCTCGTCCCGGCCTAGGTTGGCAAAGATTTCCTTCCGAACATTGTTGTATGGGTGCGCCAAGGGGACTGGGAACATGACCAGTTCCTCTCAGATTTATGATATTAATATGTATATATATATATTATATATAAATTAATGTAATTCAATTGATTAATTAGTGTCGTATTGTATGCCGATTTTAAGCTGGTTGAAGATCTTCTCTATCTAATCTACTAGCAGCTGCTTGTCGAAGCCGTTCACCAATTGCCAGGAAGCTCACAAAAGCATGCAACAGCGCTTCGGATGCCAGAGACTCACGAAGCGCCTAATGTGCAGCGTTCGTGGAAGAGCCAATGACAAGACTCAACTAATTTAGAAGGGGATTGTTAATAATTGCACTTTGTCCCTACTGCATTACTGTTTCAGGTCCTTCATACTGTTGTTTCTATTCTCATTTCTACTATGGAAGCGTTCAGCATCATGACTTGCAGTTGGAGATGGTTTGATCTTAACTTTTAAAATCCCTTCATATGATCTACATTATTCTGACAAGGGCCACTTGGAAGCCAAAGCACCTTTGCTTTCAAGGCCGAGAACTGCTGCATGGTCTTCATAGTGGCCATAGATGACAAGGCGAGTCAAGACAAACACGTACAGATTTTCGGTTATTTTCTAAGTCTTTGCTCCTCTACGGCTTGGATTGCAGGGCACTTCAATCCTCCCGCGCTTGGATGAGATCGAGAAGGCAAGAGTGAACAGAGTGAACTCTAAATCTGTATAAAGATTCCACAGGAAATTTCCAATAAATTACAACTCTTGAATTATGATAATTATATATATATATAATTATGACATTTATGACTCAAATGACCAATAAAGATTCCAACATATTCCAACTCCAAATTCCAACTCCGAGTGTTTCACCGAGTGTTTCTTCACCGCTCCACGACTCGACCACGCCCAGAGCGTCCTCCAGATGACGGAGTCGATTCCTCCCACGCGGCGGCCGGTTTGGGGCTCACGCATGCCACGCATGCCGCGCATGCCGTTGGGTGATTCAAGCAACGGCCATGATCACTACTTCTGGCTGTATGGGGCCATAGTAATACTAACATATTATATAATGACATATTACTAACTATTCAAACATGTTCAACTATGTGCAGATGATTGAGCAAAGAGGCTGTCCAGAACGTCAAGACGGCATTCTTTTGCTGGGTTTGTTGCCGTTGTTGCCGTTCGTCAATTTTAGGTCCCTGCAATTTTCCTTCTTCACAAGCCCAGGCCCAGTGAGTGAGTTTTATGCTTTCAGTGGTGGTCTGCTGTAAGTGAAGTACATGTGACTGAAACCGTCGGTTTTACAAAATCGCCTCATGTGAAATTCGGCCATGAGCTGCGCAGTGCTGACCTGAAGAAGTGGAAGAAGACCTTGGAGGAGTATGAGGAGCGATGGAGCTGCCATGAGTATTGGTGAACAGGTTTTCGACCAGCCAACAGCTCCACACCGGAAAGAAACATCAAGTTAACAACTGAATTTGAATAGTGACATATAGTGACATATAGTCAGTGACTAATCATGATGCTACTTGAAGTTGATCCGTGAGGTCACAAAGGGAACTACACTTCGCTATGGTCCGATGAGTGAGCCTGGCTGGTTGTGTGGTGAACATTGCTGCATAAAAAGGTGAGCCGACTTCGCCAGGCATCGAGGATGGCAATGCCATCTATGAGGCATTCGCCAGCCTGGCAACTATGAGGACCTGGAAATGGGGGAATGGGAAGATGTTGGGAAGATGTTGACAATGCTCGCTGGTGATTGGAATAAGGGAGGCAGGGAGGCAAGAGGCAAGAGGCAAGAGGCAAGAGGCAAGAAAAACAAAAAGCATCGAAAAGCACATCATTGGCATCACTGCATCAACCTGATGAGTATGTATCAATATGCATCAATTAGTATCATATAGCAGAAATTCGCAAGGCAATAGGATTATCATGGATTATCCAATTGACTGCGGTATGGTAGGGCAGGGCTACAGGGTGGACATTGTCAGATGTCAGGATCACTGCACACGAACAGGGTGGAGAGCTCAGTCGCAGATGTCACCGGCTGATCGTTCCGATCCAGGGATTGTGTCCCTGTAGGCTTCACCAGCAAGCAGCTCTGGAGCTCGAATGCCAGATGCCTCAGAGCCTCAGGGGACGTCCTCAGGGGACGGGGTCCTTGATCTTTGGCTATTGAAAATATTGAAAGCGTGGAAATGAAATGAAATGAAGACCTTGGAGAGAAACATTTGCGCTTTGGTTTTCAGTGACTGGAATCTGCGGTTGCCTGGCAAGTGCGAGCATATTGCGCATCTTGCAGCGAAAGTGTAAAGTTACTGTTGGAGGGCACTTTCTGTGTTTTGATACCCTATTTCCCTTCTGCGTTTCTCCCAAACCAGCGTCCCAGTCAACCCGACGGCCTTGCTCTATGTCACTAGCCACACTTGTTCAGGTTCGAAAGCGGCAGACTCAGCAGTTTGCGTGTGATCTACATAAGCTACTGTGCACGGAGGATTTGAATCTCATCCAGGACTCATGAACTGGCAATCTCCAAGCCAGAGCTCGGCACTTCTCCAGTTCGCATGGTATGAGGCTAGCGTGGCCTTTGGTGAATTTGCCTCCGTCCTCTGAGTCAGCATTGAACCGCAGCAAAAGTGCAGCCAGTAGTGTCAGTAGTGTGAGCAGCATTGGCAACCCCTTCTGAGGGCGATCGCACACGGAAGGAGTTGGCAGAATTTTTTTCGACAGCGAGCGCCCAAGGCGCTAGAGCCAAAGACTCAATCTGCCAAGAAAGAACGATGTTAAAAAGACCGAGCTGAGAGCTGAGACCCCGAACATACCTGAACATCCCTGAACCATGTACGTTTCTCATCGTTTCTCATCGTTTCTCCTTTCGTTTCTCACCGTTTCTAAAACAAATCGTGTTTTTTTGATGTTTTTTGTGCTTTTGGGCACCTCCAACATCAATTAGTTCAGGGTTCGATGCTGTATATTGTCGAAGATATCTCCCTTGGCCCTTTGGGCCCTTTGGCCCTTTGGCCCTTTGGTGGCTGTTTATTTTTTTAAGGGTAATTTAAGGTACCATTTTGAAATAGGATGAAATAGGTCATAGGTCTATATCTTTAGTAGCCATGACCATGAGATTTTTGGAATGATGGTCCCGCAGGTGGCCATGGGGCCAACCTCGGAATTCGATGATGCCGGAGGCTTCATGGTGGGGGGATGGTGGGGGAATCTAGGGACCCAGAGAGGCCAAAAGAATCAGCGATATGCGACATGCGACATGTACCACATATCTGGCATTTTTTTGTTTGTTGTATGACATTTGTACAACATTCCTGGCATGGTGAAGATCTATAGTAACTAAGCAAATCTCAACTGTTGAAGAATGACTTTCAGTATTTTGAACAAATTCGCACGAACTTACATAATCGTACATACGCCGTAGGGGAGTTAATATAGCTATCAAGGGTTGTTGCATTCCTAATCTTTTAGTCCCCCGCAGGCTGCTGAAGGGCATTCATACCGCTCAGCGGCTAACCAAAAAGTCACAGCCGGTTGACAGTCGGTTTGGGGTCTGAGTGCACGCCGCACATCGCCTGACCCTGTGGATCATGGGATTCTGATGGTTTCTGTTTGTTGATGTGCTGTTACAGCTTGTGCTTGGGTGTAGCCAAAGACCTAGTTGACCTGGTTTGGCTCAACAGCTCTATTGGCCTTGAGCGCGGCTGCGCGGCCGTGACCCGCAGGTCAAGGTTCCACTGCGCTTTGTCGGAAGTCCACTTGTCCCACCCAGAGACCGCAAGAAGATCACAATAAAATATAATGAAATTATATAAAACATAGGTGTTGCTTGGTAAACCACTCTGAGGCACAACCTTGACCACATGTCCCAACTGTCGACTAGATGCCACCGATTGCGTGATCTTTGGCAGATGTCGTGTCAGGCCATGTCTTCAGGCTTCTTCCGTGGTACCAATACCGATCAGGCCATGTCTGGGTATCGAGTACAGTCAGTCGTGTCCGAGCAGGTTTCGAAGCATTTAGCGTACTCAACGCAATGCTCTGCAAGTGCTGGAAGTAATGCTGGTTGTGGTGTGGGGGATTCAAGGTTTGGCCACCTCTTTCTTGAGACTACAAGCTGACCTTCAGGAAAGTCATCACTGAAGACCATCCATAGCTCAAGTGTAGCTGGTGCTGACCCAAGGCAACGGCCCACCAAGCCTGGCTCTGCCAGGTGAAACATGTTAATGCCGAACAAAAGATTATCAAGGCGGGAAACTCATAACAAGTCACCAGATAAAGATGCTCCTACCGGACTCCTGCCTCAGATTTGACCATGTTTTTGCATCATCATCATGATCCTATGATACTGTTGGCGTGCATCATGCTGATCATCACCGATGTTTGATTCATGGAAATTCCTTGAATGGTTTCATCTTCTTCCTTTATGTACTGTCGAAGTATTTCGTGCTAAAATTGATGGCAGGTATCGATTCACTTCTTACTGAGTTCAAGGCGTCAGGCCTAATATTCAGCTGCTATGCCTTGAGGACATGGAGAAGAACAAGCGCTTCCCAGACCACTATACTCAGAAAGTGGACATGTCCAAGGCACAGAATCTAAGAAAACATATTGTGAGGGTGCATCACACACACACACATCCGAAAATATCCGAAACTAAGTTGATCGACTTGATCGGCAACCGCTTTTTGATGGTTGACCAAACCGGAACAGAAAAGAGATGTGATGTAAACATCTGTAAACAGGTGGACTCGAAGTAGACTCCGGAGACTCGGCCAATTTCCTGACGGATTCCAGGTCTCCATGGATGTCATGAAGCCGTGGATTGCGAAGCGCATCACAGAGTTGTTGGGCTTTGAGGATGACATCGTTGTGGAGTGCGGATCCCTAGGGCTTCCCTGGGGTTGAAAGCTGGATCAAAGCTGGATCGCTGGATCAAAGCTGGATCAAAGAGGACAGATTTGTTTCGGGCGCACGGTGCAGAACTTTAGATGTCCAGCCCACAGCCTTCAACTCTTTTTCATAGAGACCAACCTGTTGAGGATATTGAGGAACGGTTCGTACAACTTACGGTTCAGCCCGAAAAGTTATCCGATGAACCATATTTCAAGATATTTCAAGCATAGCGCCGCCAGCTTCTGCGTGGCGCAGCTCTCGGAGCCGGGGGACAAGGGGCTGGACCCAAAGCTGTTGCAGGCGCCGTGGGTTGGGAAAGGTCTCTACGCCGTACCCAGGGCTTGTGTCGTGTCACAATTCGCACTTGGAAGACGGTGCCAAGCCCCAAACACTTCCAGTCTTGCCCATCCAATTTGCATCAATTTGCCATTTCTGGTGCTTTCACTGGTGCTTTCACTGGTGCTTTGGTGCTTTCACTGGTCCAGGTGAATATGACAGGCTTCATGGAGCGCAAGGTGGGAGCAGGACCTCCCCGGACCTCCCCAGTTAGCCTCGCTCCCCGTAGCGAAGCGAGGCTGGGCCCTTCTGCTCCGAGCTGTGGCAGCACTTGATCTCTGCACAGGTGGGGGTGGTGAAAGGTTGGGGAAAGCTGGAAGTCGGATGGAGATGGAGAAATGTTGAGAAAGAGGTGAATAGATATGGTGAGGGTTTCAAGAATGAAGGCTTCCTCGTTCCTGACTGATCCAAGAGTTTGAATTGAAAAACTTGAAATTTGGAGAAGCTCGGAGAAAAATAAATCAACTTAAGCAACGGATGTGAATCTGCTCGGAAACGGACGACGCAAGTCCTGTGGATAAGTGAGTCCGAGCTGTCACGTCCAGGAGAGCCCGGTCGGAGTGCCACGGGAGTTCATTGACCAAAAGAAGGCCCTTTAGGGAGGGGTCCAACGGTCCAAAAGTCCAGCGGCACAGCTGAGCAGATTACCTACTGTAGATACGAGTCGAAGATATTGGATCCTTTTAACCAAGCAACAAAGAAGTCTTAGTGTGGGGGATCCCTTCACCAAGAAAGGCCCCCTCTATTTATGGGACAATATGGGACATCCTCAGGCAGAATGCTTCTTTCTTTGTCTTGACTTATTGTTCCAAGCAAGTCACACTTCAAGCCATAACAAGTCTTAGCATGGTCAGCATCGTTCAGGAAGAGCTCAAGAAAAAGAAGGAGGAAGCAGAGAAAGTGCAGGAAGAGCTCAAAAGAAGGAAGTCATGCCCTAAGCCTCCCACGAGCCCAGCATCAGCCCATCAGCCATCCCCACCGCCAGATTCAGTCCTTTTATTGGAGGTATGGTTAAAAAAAAACCCTTTTAGCACCCCTGGTAAAGAGAAATATGGGGCTAAACCCGCCGTCTATGGCAGTGGCGGGTTTACCACCGAGGCAAGACCTGGAAGAGGCGGAAAAGCAAACCCGTGCCGCCCGGGAGGAGCGGAGATCCCCGCGGCGTCGCTCCCGATCCAAGCAGGCGCGGTCGCAGTATGACCTGGGACTTGGTCCTATGGAAGGGAATCCGACTATTTGGCAAGGTGAAAATGCGGGTGTCTTTGTTTAGAAGGACGAATTACTGTTGATGGACTATGTAACAGATTGTAAAAGTAGGTTGCTTTCAGTTGCGAAAATGCGATGCAGGCCGATGCTGGCCGGCGCAGGCGCGTTGAGACAATTGGACGGCCAGAGATGGGATTGGAAACGATTGGAACTATTGCAGCGATCTTCACATTTCGTATCCTTTCCACTATTTCAGCAAATTTCAATAACATTTTTTCATGAACCAAATAACTTGACCTATCTTGACCTTGTTTTTGACCTTGTTTTCCTGACTCGTTTTGCATCTGTAGGGACGACGACCGGCGCCGCGATGATCGCCGCGACGATCGCCGCGACGACCGGCGCCGGGACGACCGGCGCGACGACCGACGCGACGACCGGCGGGACGACCGGCGAAGAGACGACCGGGTGACGCCACACTTCGCTATGGGATGGGGCGCAAACGCATTTCAGTTCTGGAATCGAGGAAATAAACTAGAATATCTAGAATTAATATATATATTCAGTTGGATTCAGATTAAATTAGTAAGAATTACCAATTGTATTCTGTTCATCTTTGCCTTCTTCTTTCTTAGTTTTCTTCTTCTTCTTCTTCTTCTTTACAATTGTCTGTTGGCAAAGCTGTTGAAGCCTTGACAGATTTGACGGCCACATCCAGCCAGGGACGGAGGCGTGACAAATCTGAGTACCGGCTCCCAGCCTTTGCCAATCTGTGAAACATGCTGTGCTACACTGCTACAATGGCCAGTTTGAAAGCTTGCCAGTGTGAAACATCAGATGCGCGCTTTTCTGCTGCTTGCTGTAGGTCGAAGAGTCCGCAACCCCGGCGGCGGGAGAGGTGTGTGACCCAGGGATTTTGCAATGCAAAAATCTCGACAGCCATCCATCTTGGCTGTGGCCAATCTAAGGCGGTTTGAGTGGGAAGATTAAGCCAGCGCTTGGCTTTTGGCTGAATGTTTATGTCCAGAGAAACTTGAGAAGGAGCAACCAACAAGAATGCCGGGGCAAACTGGTCACAGACGAAAGCAATCCTGTCAAGTTTTCGGACCTACCATTTCTGATGCGAGACCCTTCTTGGAGAAATCGAATGTAAACATTCTGGAGATTGAGTATAGACCTGGGGTGACGAACTCCGTGCGAAAATGCCGGAGATGCGAAGTGGCAATCGCCGGTCCAGAAAAAGTGATGGGAGTTGACCTCCTGAGTGATCTGCTTTGGTACGTTGATGTACTTTGGCAATCTTTGGTATTCTTTGGTCCTGGATTCAGATTGGACTGCTGTCTCTATCTAGAAATGTTTGTCCGGCACTCTGGCAGCCCTCTGGCAGCCCTCTGGCTCGGGCGTGGCTGTGGCAGTGACAGTCCTGGTCTCCTCAAGATGTTCCTTGGAGAGAAGAGCCTTGAGGTTCACAGATGCTGTCAATCCTTGGACGCCGAATCACACCCTTCAAACGTCAAATCCCAGGCCCAAGAATCATCGTAATTTGATCTATTTTGATGGAGAGCTATAGCAGTTGTAGACTGCCTGCCTGGTGGCCAAGGTATACCGTAGTGCCCGGCGTGGTGGGCTCGCCCATGGTGCGCAGCGAACTGGGTAACATCGAATGGAATTCAATCAACAAGAATCAACAGGGTCCCTGCCGTCTAATGCACTCGTACTGTAACCATTCTGATCCGAATACGAAAATCATGAAAGAACTGTTCTGTTGACAGCTGGATATCACGCTGGCGTAATATGCCCAGAGCACTGTTGCAGCTTCTGGGGTCCCCGAAATTCTCCATGGCGCAGGCGGGCCATTCACCTGGGCAGTTTCAGGTGGCCAGGCGTTGCTGCAGGGTGACCTGTTTAGGATTTGTTCCAAGTGGAAGGCTTCAACCATTTTTTAGTCCTACATCACTCCTCGCCCAAGAGATTGAAACCGAACAGAATCGATGTTGGGAAATTCCTCCGTTTTACTTTGGAACTGCATCTCCAATTTCCTGTGCAAACACTTTGGACCATTAAAACGCAACCTAAATGCCACATTATCGGGGCATATTGCCTAAGTTTGGTGTCAGAAAACACTTAAGATTTGCGGCGTTCACATTGGGCGGAGCATCAAAGGGACGACTAAGGGATGATTTCCTAAAAATTGCGTTTACATGGGGGAATGCGCAAAAAGGGACGCAGAGGGATGACATTGTCCTCTTCCTGTAGCTGCTCATGTGTGAATCCCAATCCCAAGTCGCAGGCTATCGCCTATAAAGCACATGAGTTGGAAAGTGAATCTTGTTCGAAGGCCTCAATCGCCTCAAGCCACAATGAGTGTGATTAGATCGGTCCAGATCTTAGGGCAGAGCCAGTGCTTTGCTCCCTTCAAACGTAGCAATTGATTTTTAGAAGGTTGTCCTTTCATGTCCTTTCTGTCAATGTCAAATATCAGATCTGTGGCCGATCTTGCAGCCGCCAAGATCTACAAGGCACCTCAAACACCTCAATCTCCTGGCGCCACCAAAGTTCGGCTCTGAGAATATCCCTTGGCTCAAAAAGTGGTCCGGTTCAGCAGTGGGCAAAAGCTCGCTGAATTTACTTTTTTCGCCATGTTTTTTTTGCCTGAAACAATCCACTGTGAGAAAGATCTCCGGAAAGCTGACAATATCAATCGTCACAGGAACCTTTAAGGCCCGGAGTTGCGGTTTCCTGGAGCAACGCTTTGCCATGTAGCGAATAGTCGTTACATGTGGTTAACAAGGGAAACAGCTGGGCGACAGGCCATTTCTATGTTCCAAGGGCAGGGCCTGAAAACATGCCATGCGAAAAAGGCGAGACCGTGTCCAGGGAAAAATCTGGTCTATCAGAAAGATCAGAAAGGAGCTAGGACTACATTGACATCACGACATACTCAGAAGTGTGGACAAGCTGCTAGTTCATGCTAGTTCCCAAAGAGATCCCAGAGAGACAGTGAACATCAGTGAGCTGAGAACTAGACCAAGCCACTCCAAGGTATGGCCTCAAGGAGTTGCAATGCATCAAGGTGGCTGTGAAGCCGTGAAGTTGATGTTTTTTTTGTTTTCTTGTTGTCCGACACAGTCAGTTTAAACAAGCTTTGCAACAGGTGTTGCATCAAGTTTTGCATTTTAGAGACTCAAACAGACTCAGATGAAGTCAGTTTTCATCAGTTTGTCTCAAGGTTCCATCTCCACCCGTTCTGTTTCAGGCGGTGCCGCCATTAGTCCCATGAGCGTCACCAGCGCCGCAAGCCCGGCCAGCGCTGGTAGTCCAAAGCTCACATTCATCTCGTCGGTGCCCAGCTTGTCGTCTTCACCGCAGGCGGGGCAGCAGAGGGCAGTCCTGTTTAGTTGGAGGTGAAATTGCCAAGGGATTGTTGTAACTAAAGTTCCTCTTGCTTTAGCATAGGCTGGTCGGATCAGTGCAGTTATTTCATGTTATTTCTACCACCATACTAGCAACATCCCCCTTCGCGTCCAGAGAAAGGTCTCAGAATCAGATGGTTTGGGCTTCGTTCTGGCCCGGTGTCTTTTTTTAGGCCACTAGAATGAAGGCATATCATGTCTGCATGATTCACACTTTCTTGTACTTTCTTTCACCAACCCTGCTAGCTTTTGTTCCTTCCCCCTAGCCTCAAAAACCCTGCCTTGCGAACCGCGTAAGGACAAAATATGGCACCCTACAAAATGGATCAAATGGTATGATCAAAAAAGACCTGATCAAAGTCCTTTCATCATTTTTCTGGACTATATCAACTTATATCAACTTATATATATATAAAGTATTATATATAAAGACATATCAAGTTATATATGTATATATCCATCTACATATTTTTTCTCCCATCTCTTCCCTTTTGTTCGGGATACAGTGAGTTTAATATGTTCTAACTATTTCTAACTTATATCCAATTGATATCGAAAACAGATCTCCAATTTGCTTCGAGGCCATGAGCCCGCCCTCCTTTCCCACTCAGCTCGCCTTCTCGCCTTGGCGCGGCGCGGTGCCCACGGTACCGGGCGTACCGGGCGTGGTGCCCGTGGTGGCCGCGGCGTCACCGGTGACAACGACGCCGACCTCCGTGGCCCAGGAGATGGGGCTGTGGGAACCACTGGAACCAGGAGCGTTCCAAAGGATCCCACTACTTGAAGACACCATGAAAAATCAACCAACATCCCCACGAATTCCTAGAGTTTCCAGTTTTTTTTTTCAAAATAGAAACATGCCTGCAGTTTTTTTTGAAAATCCCTTGAGTTTTCTGTTCTTTTGGAGACGGTGGAGACCTGGCCGGTGCTTCCAGGAGGCTTTGGTGAGCAATCGTCCGTGGGTTACTGAAGCGATCGCCATGGGCGGCAATTAGACACATCTCACAATGTGTTTACCAAAAATTCGATGGTGAATCAGCGTTTTCTCCATTGATTCACATTGCCATTTTGAGGTATCTCCATTTTGTCTCATACACAGAGAATCGGCTTATATTCATAACCCCTTCTGGCATTAAGGCCCTCACCCAAGGATAGCATTGCTGGTGCAAATGAAGCACGACCCAGCGAGGAGCTTGGTTGTTTTCATGCTGTTGAACTTCAACTCCTATGCCATTTTGATATAGGGGTTCTACAGATGGATATAAAAAGATGTACTATGCAAGACATGAGCTCATATGTATGTTATTATGTTGGATGTAAGATGATGTAAGCGTGGTGGAGTTTCTCCAAGCTTTTGAGGCTTTGGAGCTCCTTTTGAGGCACTCGGAAATCAACGATCTGGGGATTTCACTGGTGACGGTTGTGACGCTTCGACCTGTCGACAGGTGCGGCCGAAGTCGCGGGAATCCAAAAGTGGTACCTTGACACGTGGCAAGAGCATGCAGGCGAAACCGCTGAAACCAGGTGAAACGCTGTGAAAAAAGGATAAACAAAGGACGAAACTAGTGACGAAGTTTGGAAAGCTTATGAACTAGGGTAATATTATACAAACGAATGTGTTCTTGAACGTTTCCTGAGATCTTGCAGCGAATTATCCGATCAGTCAACTGCATCCTGCTGTTTTGCACTTTTGCATACTTTAGCACCATTTTGCCATCTATGCTAGGCCTTGGAAACTACGAGCCCTGCCAAGAAGGCCTGGGGATTTGGGGTTCAGTTGGCCCGTTGGTGAAACTGCTGGGCTTCCAAGGCCAGTCCACGGGACCGCACTTCGACGGATGGCTCGCGCATTGGTCTGGATGGCCCAGCAGGTCGGCTTGGAGTGACAGCCTTGAGAAGGGTGATGATATCATGGTAATGATGGCGGTTGGTTGTTGTTGTGGTTGTTTTTGTTGTTGATGATGATGATGGTGATGATGTTGATGGTTGATGGTTGATGGTTGATGGTGGTTGATGATGGTTGATGATGATGACGATGACGATGGTGATGATTATGGTGATGACGATGGTGAGGAGGAGGAGGGGGAGGATGCAACAATCAGTACGACAAGGTTGCAGCATGTTATTGCACCACTAGGATCACTTGCATCCCAAGGCAACCAGATGCTCCGTAGTGCCAGGGGCTCAGATGTTGTGCCCTTTGTCCCTCGCCAGTGTCCAACACACACACTATGGCACGACTTGAAAAATATCTTCCCGCGATTTCGCACCCATTTCTGTTCAACCACAATTTCACCTTATCCATCCTTACTTATCCTGAAAGTTTCTTCAAGTGAGTTGAAACAGGCACACCTTAAACGAATAAGAACATAAGAAGTACTAGTTACTAGCGTGTAATTAGGATTAATTAGGTAGCCTGCGAAATTTAGTGACGCACCTCTCATGCAGACACAAACTGCTTCAGGCAAGCTTCTCCTCCATGGAGGCCTTGCATGGCAGCACTCCGTCACCGATGGTTGGAGCGATTTCGATGATGTAGAAATCATAGGATTTCCATACCTTGATATACTTTGATCATCTTTGATCCACACTTCAACTCCTATACATCTCACCTATAGTCGCTTGATCTGTCGCAATCTGGAGTTTATGGATGCTTTCGTGGAAAAAGGGACTTGTTTAGCACCTGTGAATTGTGAATCTCCTCACGTTGTCATTGCTTCCAGGGCTCAATACCTCGAAGTACCAGCGTCAAGACCATGAGGCAATTGCCGGATAGAGAGTTGGGTTTTGACCTTCCAACTTCCGGTGAAAGATATAAGCAATCGTAGTTGGGGGCACAATCTGCTTGGTCCTGAGGCCCCACCAATCAACTCCACCTCAGCACCTGACTGGCATTTTGTCCCATAGGACAAGTCGCAGCGCACGCTTAAGTCTCAGCAATTTGTCGGGGAACTCGTTCGGGTGTAGAATTGTTCTTTGCATTGGCAAAGTGAGGGTGGGGAGTGAACACATCCATCATCAACCCGTTCGCTTTGATCGTCGGCTCTCTACTTTGTTACTCCAGCCTGACGATCAATTGGCACCACTTCAAACATCTTCACTCAATAAACGAAAGGAACATTTCCACAAACTATCTTTCAATAGCTTGGTGAATAATCATACATCCTCTAGTCTAGGGTATGCTGGATTGAGCGCCAGCGAACCCAAGCAAATGCAAGCTTGGAACTCTGATGAGGAAAGACAACTGCTCGCTCACTCTATTTTTCCACATTTTTTTTTTAAATTCTAACCAGACACAATTTGACTTCTCAACCACTTTTGGACGTTTCCTTTTCTCGCCTTAGTGAGGCTCAACTCAGCAATACAGCAATCGAGATCACAGGAATCATGTTGAATCAGCTCTCAGACTGGACACACCATGGACACCCCATGGACTCACCATAACACCTGGCCAAGGTCGTTGTGTGCCAGCGAGAGCGTTGAACAAGAGCGTCGCCAGACCGAGCGTGGCTTGGAGTCCGGATCCAAGTTGCTGTGGTTGTGACATGGACTGGTGACCGCGTTCCTCATGTCTCGGTGCAAAGGATCAGGATGGATCAGGATGGATCAGGATGGATCAGGATGGATCAGGATGGATCAGGATGGATCAGGTAGAATTTCGTGGTGGCAAAACTTTGGCTTGTGGAATTGTGGCCACTTTTGTTTTGCACCAGGCGAGAGAGTCGCTGGTTGAGGTGGGGGTGTCCAAAGTGCCACGGTGGTGTCGGAGCCACGTGTGACCGGGGGACCGGCCATCCAGGCGCGCCTTAAGCGAAGAGATGCGCCACATCGAGACGATGCAGGAGCAGAACTATGCAGAAAATTGGCAGAAGTTGGGCTCAATGGCCTTGGCAGTCTGGGGCTTTTCATACTGACTTTCATCATCTTTCATCAATGGTTGAAGGATGATGCAAAACGCATCATGCAACATCTTGTTGAGTGTTTTGTATGCCGCCTTTGTAGGAGCAAGATGCTCAGCATGAACACTGGCGACAAGATCAAATGGAACGGCAGCGGCAGGCCGGAAGATGAACTGAGCCAAGCTGCTGACATTCAGCAAGCCACTCACCCTGCAGGCGGAAGCACGCGCTGTGCTCAGAGATGTTGCTTTGGTTTGGAGTTTGAATTCAAGCTGTAGCCGTAGCTGCATGTAAAAATTGTAAGTATCAATCATCTTTAGATATTTTTAACCTTTTAACATATCTTCGAGCAGTCTCTCGGATCACTCCCGTTTATTGTAATCTTCAGGGTCGGGTTGAAACTTGACCGTCAATATTCTCCAAAGAAAACTGAGCCGTCACCAATAGGCCACCGGCAGCGAAGCTTGCACCGATGGGAAGAGAGCTGCAAACGGAAAGCTGCTGAGGAAGCAGCCGGAATCATTTGCGAAAAGGTGTGAAGTTGGTGAGTTCATCGATTCGGCTTTCAAGGGATCCACATCACAGGTGCCCGCCCTTTTTGTCTGAGTTGGAGGTTAACCAGGTTGTCTTATGGGTCTTTGTCGCAAATCCATGCATATCCAAGCAACTTGAACCGGTGTGACTTGCCAGTGGCTCGCAGGAGTCTCGGCAAAAGTCGAGGGCTCAGTGGATTTGTTGACAGTGTGACACAGCAACTGATGCAACTGCCAGAGGAATTAGGTCAAGACGAAGTATCTCCAAGCTTCTGGTACTCTCGTGGGTAAAAGTGCGCTTAGTTCGCATTGTATCGAAACAAAAGAGTCTACCCAACGTTGCTTGCTACTTATACTTTTAATAGCTACGTCCAGCAAAAAACATCTTTCTTATTTCTTATGGCCTTTGTCGTTGTTGGCAGAAACGAATCAACTTCAGCTGCAACCCTTCCACGGAGCATCATGTCGTGCAAACATGTCCTTCTACCATTTTGTGCCCAACTGATTTGACATGTCTGTGCAAGCTGTGGCTTCAGAAAGTTCCGGGGCTCGACCTCCCACGACCATTCCCCAGTCGCAAACGCAGGCAGGAGAGCGAGCAGCATGATGCTGCCTTTGAGCAGAACCAGGAACGTCTACAGGTCGGAGATCATTGGATCACTTGGATCACTTGGATCACTTGGATCACTTGGCACAGTGACCTGTGGGCCACAGCCCCTGAAAAGGCCCCTTTTAAGGGGCCCCTTTTGGGCACCTTGCCACTTGGTGTTGACAGGCAGACCGCCAAGCTGTTGAAGCAAAGCAGCTGGAGCAGCGACAGAGACAACAGCGACAGGTGCAGCTATTGGGTGGCTGTAGATTTATAGCTAGAATAGCCACACATATACATTTTTATACAAATAGTTAAAACATATGGCCAAATAATGCCAAACATTGAACTTCAACATCTTTAACATATTTTAACATCATCAACTGCCACAAACTGCCACAAAGGCCACAGGGTTTGTTTATTTCCAAAATGACGAACACTGCTCTGGACGTCCAGGCCGATAAGCGCCGTGCCTCGTTGTCCGAAATTGAAGGGCGCAAAGAGGCGCAGATGAGATTGGCTGGACCAGATCGGTGATGTATTGATAATGAAGAAGGATTGAATAATGGTAAACGCACCACGATCAGACATATGTATATATATATATATACTGTATATATATATATATATACTGTATATGAGCAGCATGTTTGAGTGACAATCATGTGGACCAGTCTCTAGGCTCGAGCACAGTAGCTCAGTCATTCTCCCTAGCCTTCGAAGAAGACTCCGAGCCAATTTCTGAAAAGAAAGCTCAAAAGCCCGAGACGTGCATAATCTTTGACTGGGAATATCGTCCCTAGCCTTCGAAGAAGACTCCGAGCCAATTTCTGAAAAGAAAGCTCAAAAGCCCGAGACGTGCATAATCTTTGACTGGGAATATCGTATCTACGTGGTCTGGCGCGTTCCACTGGCTGATAACCCTTTGCAGTTCAGAGGCTTGCATTGGGGTTTGGGCATCAGGGCTTACGCTGGAATTCTACGACTGAATCAAGGCACCTTTGGTGGGATTAGGTGGCGGCATTGCAATTCCCTAGAGCTTGCTGAAAGGCTCTTTCGGGAAGAACTTCCTCTCCCGGACCGGGAGATTGGCACAGAGTATTACGAATGGGTCCGAATGTAGGTGACACTGCCTACATAAATTTTGCTGAAACTTTTGAAGAGCCAAGATGCAGAGAGGTTCTAGTCGTAGGGATCGAAAACAGCTGGATTCGAGTTTTGGTGAGGGCCAAAAGGCTATCAGAGATAGCCAATCACTTTTCGCATTTCGAGGTAGACGGCAAAGTCTTTTTTGTAGCCGAAGTCGAACTTCATCAACTGAAAGCCTTTGGTGTTTCAACTGTTCTGAGTCTGGCAACAGGGTCAGAGATGTTGATTTCGAAAGAAAAGGAGTTGGAGGAGAGCGGTTCAGAACTGATTTATGCCACAGCCTCAGATCGAGAGGTGAGGCCTCCCAAAAAGGCCAAGTTTGGTCGCAAGTCCGAAGTCCTGGAATCGTCAGAATCAAACAACAGCAGCAGTGGTTCGGAGGATCTAGGGATTCTTTCGAAAGCAGCAAAGTCATGGCACGTTGGGGATATCAAACGAGAAAAGCAAGAATCAGCGCCAAGCAAATCAAAGAGTCGTTTTGCCCTTCTGGAAAACAGCAAAAAGAGAGAAGTCAAGTCCGAAGTGGAACAATTGACCAATCCTGCACTTCTGCTCAAACAGTTGAAAGGAGGTCAAGATCCACTCCAAACTCTCCTCGCGCTCCAGCTTGCAGAAACGCTGGGAAAGAAGTCCAAGAAGAGCAAGAAACGAAAAAGCAGCAGTTCTTCTCGAGATGCAGAAAGTTTGGACGACAGTGCGTCCAGCAGTGGGTCGTCAAGTCACCGCAAGCGAGGACATGCTCGCGCCATAGAATCTTACCAAGGTTCTCGGAAGCGGATGTTCCGCAAGCCTCTTCGCTATGTGAAGCTCTATGTGAAGGAGGTGGAGAAAGAGTTGGGGGCGGAAGACCGTCCTTACAAGCTGTCCGAATATGGCCGGAAAGTGCAGTGGGGGAAACAGCGCTCACTGCAGCGATGCCATTTCATGCTCAGCGAGATTCTCACCCGGCTTCTGAAGGGGCAAGTGGAAAAAGCTGCGTTGCAAACAGTGCTCTGTCTGAGAAGCATCCATCAAGCCGCCATCGATGGAACGTGGGACATAGCCTGGCTTTTGACTCATCTGCCGGATCCATGGACAAAACCTCAGTGGGGAGGCAGTGCCGAGGAATTGGGGTATGTGACAAGCTACCTCAAATCAATGGCAGAGCTGAACAAAAATGCCGAGAAAGCCCGCTTCTCCGCTCAGGGAAGTGCAGATCGAGGAGAGGGCGAAGCCGCTGTCCCTCCCAAAAAGGGAAAGGGAAAGGGCAAAAGCCGCGACAAGGAGAAGGACAAGCCGAAGGAGGAGGCAGGCCACGACTGAGTGTGGCCACTGATGAGCCTAAGACAGCGCCTGCGAAGCCAGTCGCCTTTAATTCAGTTCTGAGGGCACTTGAGAGCAATCATGGTTCCTTTAGTCGTTTTCTCAGATGTTTGCAAGTTAGATCCAATGAAGGGTCGGGGCCTAGGACACCTTCATGCAACAACACGAAGGTAGGTGAACTTTTTCCGTCCTTGCTAGTAGTGCCTCCCATGTGCATTGCTCAGAGTTCTCGTAGGAACTGTCGAGGACGAGGCCGGGTAGCTACTTGGTCCTATGTTGAAGTGTTATGGAACCTCTTCAATTTTTTGGAAGGGGGATGCCCTTTTAGTGAAACAGACCAAGTACGGTTGGCCGACAGAGCCTCGTCGGCCTCCTGGACTCAGATGCATGCTGAGTACGCCGGCTTTTTGCATGACCAAGTTCACCAGTTTCTCCGCCTTAGAAAGCCAGAGCCTCTAGGACGCGGAATGGCACAACTCAATGAATTAGTGATGTCAATTAAGAATTCACAATATAAACCTGGACCTTACACAGTAGACGAGCTGATGACGGTAGCTAAGCATGTTGAGCCCGAAAGGATGTCTCTCCCTGAAATCGGAGGCATTCTAGACCCTGTAGATCACTTGAAGGGTCATAAGAAAGAGTTGTTCGAAAACATGGTAGAACATGTCCCACATAGTGACATTCCTGAAAAGAAAGTAAAAGGTTGTTTCAAAATCAAACCCGAACACATAGTGCCGGTGTATGAAAAACTCCTAGATTCGCAGGTAGCCGTTCTCTTGCCTGTGTCCATGGCCCTCAGAGACGAAACTGGCAAAATCGTTTCTGGGGGCCTTTTCGCAGTTCCTCATAAGGAACACACTGACCGAGTGATTTGTGACAGGCGTCCGCAGAACCAGTTAGAGAGACGACTTGTCTGGGCAAAACTTCCACATGGTGCACTACTCACACAAATAATAGTTCCCCCTGGCCACACCATTCGTGGTTCGGGTGATGACTTATCAAATTACTTCTATCTCTTGAAGCACAGAGAAAGCTGGTTGCACCGCAATGCCATAGGTAGCCCCGTTTCTGGTAAAGACTTCTTGAAGTATGGATGTGATCCCAAAACCAAATATGTGTTGTGCTTTCGTGTTATTCCAATGGGTGACACTAACGCTGTGGACATTGCTCAGGAAACTCATCTCCAGGTCCTCCAGGACGCAGGGTGCATGCAGAGCTCAGAGGTCATTGCGTATCGAGACTTGCTTCCAGCCAGCCACTGCTGGGAAGGACTTTATATCGATGACCACATCGTGATGCAAGTACTCCCCAAAAAGAAGTTACGTAACCCCAAACAAACATTCCGGGATGATGAGATCCTTAAAGCAAGTAGGCAGCAGTATGAACACTTAGGCATTCCCACTTCAGATAAGAAAGCTTTCACCCATCAACCTAGTTTTACGGCTTGGGGTACCCATGTTGAAGGATCCACTGGTAGGGTAGGCACCCCTCGTGAGAAGCTTGTCCAGTTGTCTGAGTTGATAGTCCAAGTCTGTTCACTAAAAAAGGTCAGTAAGAAATTGCTGCAGAAAACACTAGGGTTGTTGGTTCACCCATCCATGCACCAAAGACTGCTGATGTCCTTGCTGCAAGAAGTGTACCTCTGGGTTGAAAAATTAGACGACTCAGAAGCCCGTCGTCTGCCTGCAGCAGCAAGAGAGGAGCTGCTCATGTTTGTGCTTTGTTTGCCCTTATGTCACTCTAATATCAAATGGCAAGTCAGCCCTAGGGTAGGTGCCAGTGATGCATGTCTAGATGGTGGGGGTAGAGCTGCCACTTTGACCGACCAGAGCATTGCTGAAACGTTGTATAGATATTCGGAACATAAGGGTGAACACGTTCGACTTGACTGGGAGAAAGGGCGTTTGGCCCCTCCCTCCGACATGGTAAGTGCTCCACAGGAGTTAGAGGACCTCATGGCTGCCCATGTTTGGAACACCACTCAGCAGATAAAATTCGGGCACAAACAGCACATCAACATACTTGAACTTAAGATGATCAAAGAGGAATTGAAAGACTTAGTGAAGCAGACAACCGCTCCCATGCGTGCTGTAAACCTAGTCGATTCACGTGTAGCAGCAGGAGCATTTGCCCGGGGTCGCTCGTCATCAAAACAGCTGAACCGCATTTTGCGGTCTATGATAGGTTGGAGTTTGTGTGGTCGTAAAAGTCTGCACCTGGTTTGGGTTAGGTCAGAAAGAAATCCCTCGGACCATCCTTCCCGAGCTTGCAGAATACCAGAACCAAAAAATGATGAAACAATACGTAGGATTTTTGGGGCACCCAGGCCCGAGTTGCAGACTCGCAAGTCCAACCGAAAGATTTTGAAGCAGGCTGTCAATTTCGTAAGCCGTGACGGAGCTCCGTCGTCCGAGAGCAAAAAGGCAGGACCGAATCACCCTGCGATGAGCCAGTGGACATTCAGAGAGATATTTGCAGGTTGTGGTAGGCTCAGTAAGACATTCTTGCATGCTGATTGTTTCAACGTTGGTTCACCCCTAGAACTTATCCAAAAAGGGAGAGAATCTCCTGAGCATGACTTGCTTAATGACGACACGTTCCATAAGTTGTGTGCCGATGCTGCCAAGCCAAGACAGATTTGGCATTTTGGGTTACCATGTAATAGTTTCAGTTTGATGCAAAACATGAATCATGGGACTAGAACCAGTGACCACCCTGAAGGAGCTGGGACACTTGCACGTGAAATCAGGGGTAATGAACTTGCTCGACGCACCTTCTTGTTGTGTACCATATTGCATGCCAGTGGCAATTTCTTCACCATAGAAAATCCAAAGACATCTTATGTTTGGAAGTTGGATGCTCTGTGTGAACTAGTTCGCAAAACCTCTGCAGTTAGAGTCAGCTTCGATCAGTGCGAATATGGGTTAAAGATTCCCCTGAACGATACTTGCATCGGACTCGCTAAAAAACCCACAACTATAGTCGGAACTTTGCCAGGGCTGTTGTGCCTGCAACGCAGCTGCTCAGGCCATCATGATCATGTTCATGTTATAGGTGGTGTAAAGACAGCACAAGGATGGAAGAAGAGATCCACTTTAGCCGGATATCCCCCTAGGCTATGTCAAACATACCACAAGTGCTGCATTCGCATGTTTGCATGAGGTCCAGTTCAGTTCAGTTTTTTAAGCATGAATTAGACTGCCGTAGTTTTTTGTTTGCACATCACTTCTGCATGTTGGCAAGTAATGCCTGCCAGTAAAGTGGCTGGTATCAGATTGCGGTTGGCGCGCTTCAGCGCTCCCTATCGACAGAGACTGACTGAGAGTGGAGCATCGTTTTGTGGCTTTTTGCGTGAACATCAGATCAGCACAAAGACACTGGAGAAAGGCTCAGCTCAGCTGCTGGATCAACTGTTAGACGAGTTTGTGAATCATCTCCATCAGCACAGATCCAGACGAAAGGGAATCCTTCGTGTAGCCAAGCATGCCATACTTTTTGTCCAAACAGTCAGACCCGATGTTCGAGGTCTGTTGAAAACATGTTGGACCACTGTTAAAGCCTGGCAAGAGCAAGAACCTAGCCAACTTAGAGCGCCAATGCCATTAGTGTTGATGATGGCCATGCTTTGCAAAGCAAGGCTTATCGGCTTGAACGCTGGACCTGGTGCCAATCAGCAAAAGTTACTCGTTTTCAGTGCTTTGACCGGGCTTGCCTTTTTTGGTTTGCTTAGACCTGGTGAGTTGTTGAACTTGACCCGCGAAGATGTCGAGATCCCTAACCAGCTGTCACTCGGCTTGCCTTGTGTGACGGTCAGAATCCGAAAGCCAAAGAATTTCCGTCAGCTTGGGCATGCTCAGTTTGCCGTAGTCAAACAACCTGATATATGTAACTGGATAACTTGGGTGTATGAACATGCTAAGCCAGGTCAACCCCTTTGGCCTCATGGTGCAAGTGCTTTTCGTGCTCTCTTTAAACAGGTCTGCACTAAGTTGTTGAAGCAATCCCATTCCTTTAGTCCAGCTTCACTGCGAGCCGGTGGTGCAACCTTCATGTTTGACCAATGCATGGATGTGGGGCATTTGAGACTCGCAGGTCGGTGGGCTAGTCCGCAGTCACTTGAGCATTACATTCAACAAGCAAAAGCACAGCAGCTTGTGTTACAGATCCCATTAAAGGTTAGGGAGCGCATTCGCACTTTGATCAGCAAAGGATATTTCCTGCTAGCTTTGCCAGACAAACTGGCTGAACCCTTGAATTTTGAATCACTTTTATCCCATGGACTTGGCTGCTTCCTCCGCGCAGAACCCCTCTGGAAAGTCTGCAGGAGGTGGGGAAGCCTTGCGGAAGAAGTTTAGAAAGATCTCCATTGTCGGTGGAACTTTGAAAGGAGCACACTACGGTGACGTCTCGGAAACCGATCTGAGAAAAGCTGCTAAATCCTACAGAGGGGATCCCAGATTTGCCCAGTTTTGTAAACAGTGGGTGGCTGCCGAAACAGTGGCTCCGGATGACGAGCCCTCCTGCCTTGGACACCAGAGTGCCAATTCAGTCCCTACAACCTCTGTCAGCTTGACTTGGAAAGCTTGGGGCTACCAATTCGTCTGCAATTTTGGACGATGGACGTATGGTAAGTGCAAAGGACGTTGGATTTCGGCTTTTTTCGCCTTCAGTTTCTTCATGCTGGTGATTTCCCGACCAGCGTTTAGTCGGTTATGTGGTCGACTTTTGGGCATCACCATTAGGTTAGCTTTTCGAAGAGGTCTCTATCTGCTCACTGTTTTGGTAGACTCTATTTTAGATGAAGCCGCATACCAGATGGAAACAACACTTCTTCCAGTGCCGGAGCAGATTCCTGGGACTTTGTTCCCCAACCCTCAACAACACCAAGTTGCCGAACTCTCATACTCATCATGGTTTTGGCATTTCTTTTGTGTGGCCTTTGGCGCAGTTCTCGGGAGATATGGGCGAGGGGCTCAACCTTTTGTCCGCATTCACCCTTGACTGGAACAAGTTTGCGCTGGAAAGTTTGGTGGTTTTGGGGGTCTCTTGGTGCATCAGCACCATCGAAAATCAGCTGATTTTTGCAATCTCGATACCTGGCAGTTCGATCAGTTCGCATTGCTTGCTAGCCTTGGATTTGACAAGGCCACTTCACACTCATTTCAGGCGTGCCCCAGAGAAAAAGAGGGCGCGGTGAGCAGGCCACAGAGTGCAATCAACACATATATATATACTGTATATATATTATATATATATATACGTAATTCATAGAAATATATAGAAATATAAAATACAAGCAAGGCATTTTCGAGTTTATGACTTCCAAAATTGAATGATTGAGATCAATCATGAGCAAATTTGTGAAGTTTGCAGACTCCATTTTTGAGCCATACCGTGATACCCGAGTAGCAGTTGTTATAAAGAATGAAGAGAGACTTAGTCCAGATGTTTGCGAGCATCACCCTAAGCACTGGGGAATTTTAATGTATTTTGCGAGTTTGCACATTACATTGCGCACTTGACGTGATCAAATATCCCTTACGGGTTGCAGGGGTTGATTGCAACAAACCTTTGAACTACAAGTGCTGCAGGCAGAGCGAAAGGAGCAGTGGCAACAAATGCCCGGATGCCTGTAGTTTCTGTATGTTTCGGTGATACAGAGATTCTCACAGCCGAAACTGACAACCCTTTTCCGGAGCGTGTAAGAGTTGATGAGGTCCTTGACTTGTTTCGGCATTTCAATCTTGAGCTTCGAGAAGAAAGGCAATAACTCATGCTAAAATTCTGGCACTGAGGGTGAAGGCTCACGAGCAACAACAGGTGTGGCATTGCTGCAAGATTTTTCTACCCGTACTAAAGTCAAGTGAGATCTGCCAATCTTCACGGCATTTTTACTTCTTATGACACTTTGATATCGCTTCGGTTGAGTTCCAAGATATCCCAAGACCCAAGACATGCGGTGCTTGGACTCGAAGCCCTAACTGCCAGGCTCGAGACCAAATTGTCCGATCTGCACAGCTCATTGGCAGCAGATTGGGATGATACCATGGTACCACGTTGGTTTCAGTGGGTGATCGTACTTGCGTCAATTTATAGTATAAGTGCGAGATGAATAAACGCTGAAAAGGCATCTTTGTTCGTCTCAAACCTGCGGGAAGGAGCCCAGAATTTCCTCTTGAAGGAATGCAATGCAACACAACAGATGGGTTCGCAAACCAAACTTGATTCGCACTAAATAAGTTCTGCCATTTGGGTCTTCATTGCAGTGAAGGGAGACATTCTGGACAAATCCTCCAAGTGGCCGACTCAGGGAGAAGCGACGGCAGCAAATTTGCGCCAAGAAAGAGCAAAGAGAAGAGCGGATGATGAAGTTGATGGAGGCACAGGATGCAAATTGAGTGACGGAATAATGATGATCAATGAGGAGGTGTGCTGATAAGAGCAGGATGGCGTAGGATAAATGACAAAGGCCCACTGAACAGCGGAATCATACATCTTCGATCAGGGCCATCATGAATCATGACATTGATTCATGACATCCACTAGTTGTAATTGAAACTGTCATGGAATGGACAGCAATGATGGGTTATACAGTTATTTATACTGTACTGGCACAGGTTGCCACATTATGCTATGGAGGAGAATACGCATACAGTTTAAAGTACGTTTGAGGCTGTTGGACTTTTGTGTACTTGGCTTTCAGACAAATATGCAAGCTTGAGCGTCCATTTTGGTCGCCGTTCCTGATTGATCCTTTACTAGCTTCTCACACTACAAGGAGGGGTGCAGCAACAGAACAATGACACACACACACACACAGACACACAACATGATGGACACCTTCGACAGTGACAGTAACATTTATCGGCATGTTCATTCACCTCTTTCTCGTTCTGTCCGGTGATTTAGCGCGACTTGGTTATTCGGAATATTCCTCGCCCCAGCTACAGATTGCCATTTTGTCTCATTTGCTCAGGCTCAGCGTGACCTGGAAGAGCAACGCTTGGCCAGGCAGTGAGTGGTTGACATGCTTTGAGCTGGAGGATAACTATAGAATTCGGATGCCAGGCAAAGTGTCATTCCAGTCTTTATATCCCAAAAAAGATCCAAAAGGCGAAGACACATCAAAAAAAACACTTGATCTGCCAGTCTGCCAGTAGTTTCAGTAGTTCGTTTGGACGCTTTTTCAAGGCTTCCAGTGAGTGCTCCAGGCACCAGGAGAAGCAACGCTTGCAGCAAAGCAACTCTGGTGCCTTCTCTGCACGACAACGTGCTCAGCACGACAAGGCCGCCGACAGCCGGCCGCCCTCCTGGAATGTCCCTTTACTATGGATGGTCCATGAGTCCATAGCTGCCATAGCTAGAACAGCCAGAATATGCCAGTTGTTGTGGTGACCATGTGGCAACGGTGGTGTTAATGCTGATGGTGATAGAGTGCTGCAGCTCCTGCTTGTGATGTGGTGTGCTGTGCGCTGTTGCACTGGCTGCAGTGTCATTTGTGTCCTGCAAAACCTCGGGTAAAAAGTGTTGAGTTTCACAGTAGGCTGGGCTTGGTTGCAATGCTGTGACGGCCAGACTCAAAACAATTTCAAAGAACTTCAAGCTCGGCGTGTGGAGGTCTTTAGCCCAGATGCGAACTACTGCTAACATCTGCTACAGCAACATTTATGAACTTTGCATGGCAAACTGTGCCATGGAAAAACGCTTTGCCCGATTTCCCCAATTTGATCCGAGCCATGCTCCCAGGCTCGAAGCCATGCGGATCTGCAGCAGGAGTCAGCATTGCTCGCATTGCTCGGTTTGTTTCAATGCAGGTACTGCAATGCGAAATCCTACCATTGGGCATGTTGGGAATTCGATTTGGGGACTGCTAGAATTGGCCGACAGAACAAGGAAGGAGATGTTGTTGAATATTGAATATCCTTGAATATCCTTGAATATCCTTGAATATCCTTGATATTTCAGGAAATTTACGGAAATTTAAGCTGCACAAATTCCGGTGCAGACGTTCCTTTCGTTCCTTCAGCGACATCGTCCAGGAGCGGCGCCGATCCGAAGTGGAACAGAAGGTATCCCTGGCGGTGGAGATTGGATGAGATTGGGCCGTGAAGGTAGATTATGATGTATATATATATATGTCTATCATGATCATAATATAGTAAATAATTGATCATAATTGGCAATATTGATTATTTAATTGATTTATATAACAATGAGAATAATGATAATGAGAATAATGATAATACTGATCATAGTACTAATGAAAATTATGAGACTATCCTACTAGTCCTCGGGGACACATCCACGGAACGATGCCAGACGGCCGTCAAAAGCCAAAAGCTGGAGGACATGGCCGCTGACAGGCACAAATTTGCTGCATCTGGGAAGAAATAGGTCGAAGAAATGACATCCCTACAGGCCCAAAAAACAACTTGCAAAAGCACTCCTTGAAACAACAACTGCTTGAAAGCGATCTTGCCAAATCTTGCGTGGAGCCAAGGTCACATGAATTGGGTATTAGTGGACGGGTGTTAAGCTGGTAGTATCGTGAAGGTGTCTGTTCTCTGAGGTTGGGAGCTGTAATTAATTCTGCTTTTGTTATTTTACTGGAGGCACTCTAGCGAGTCCTCTTTTTGCGAATCAGCCTTTTGTTGATCTCATGTGAAAGATAGTGAGATCTTATCAAATCATGGATCACTGACAGAACATGCAACCAATGCAGCAGGCAAAAGCTATGGGAGATCCGAAAAACTGCACATCGAGAGGCGTGCCAGACCTGTCATGCCACAGCAGTCTCAGGTGATAGACATTGTGCCAGAAAATGTATGAACATGTAAGAGGTTGGCACCATCATGCACTATCCTTGTGTAAACAACACGATCCAAAAAAGGTCAAGAAAATAGACATTTGCGAAAACAAAGTATCATGCATTTATCATCCATTCATCCGTATCATCCATTTATGTGTAAACATTTTGCTTGAGTTCTCTGAAATAAAGTTGTTATTTTTGGGGCACTCGTGGCGCTATTGGTCCTCAGGCTGCTAGAATCCTCCGCGATGCGAAGCGAGAGGTGCATCGGCAGTCGATGAGCTCCAGGCAGGTCCCATGAAGACGGTTTCGCAGAACATCAGATTTGTGTAGGTGTCTGATGATTCTGATTGTGTCTGATGATTCTGCTTATGTCTGTTTCCATGATGATTTTTGACTTTCAATGTGCTTTTTTTTGTGCTTGAACGAAAGAGACGCCATCTTTCGTTCACGCCAGGTACAGCGTGAAGTTTCTCCAGGAGCAGATGGGACGCCTGGAACATCCTGATGGATTGACGACAAGGTCAGATGGCTTCCGATTTGAGGAGCACAGCACTTCAAAAGTCCTGGGAGATTAGCAGCTCAGCAACTTAGCATAGATGAGCTATGTCAGCTATGTCAGCCATGTCAGCTATGTCAGCTATGTCAGCTATGTCAGCTATGTCAGCTATGTCAATCAAAGAGCAATTCAGGGTGGTTTAGAGGACCCGGTAGCCACTTGAGACCATGCACCTTGTGCTGCGCAGTCTGACCGGCAGCAGCTCCGGCAGTTCTACGGCCTCAATTCAGGAGCGAGTGGACGGTTGGTGGACGAAGGGAGGCACAATGACCCAAATTTGAACATTTTGAACATTTTGGACTACTTGATAATCTGGATATATCTGGATATATCTGGATATATCTTGGTTCCTCTTGCAAATTCTGACCGGGCAGGCCGTGCAGTATCCTTCTTGGCCGCGTTTCCATGTTTTTAATTCAAATGTTCAGCAGACTCGGATGCCAACACCAGCTGTGCTTCAACCATTCTATGCACCTCCACGTCAGGATGAGTCACACAACAGGTAGGATCCATGGGCGATGGGCTGGGAGGTTTTGGGCATGTTTAGCAGAGTGCCACCCTGCAGAGTGAAACGACCATTGGAGTGGATTTGTTTGACCATTGGAGCTTTGGTCTTGCTCTATCTCGGGGGATACAAGGTCATACGATCACCTTTGTTTTTGATAGATGCCACATCCTGACTTTACCGACTTTACCACTTTGGTGAAAATCAGCAAGTTTGCTCTGGTCGCCCTGCAGTGTCTGAGGGAATTTGGACCAATTTGGGAAAAGAGATGTAACAATTACAGTATATTCATTGTGAGCCAGTAAATTTGGTATTATGACTTCCATTTTGACCCGCTAGAGAACAAGAGCCGCCCCCGCAGCCGTTTTTGGATATTTGGCCTGGAAAGACTCGCGAGCATCGCTCAGTACCTTGGTTTTGGATCAAGCGGGTTTTGGCCACGCCCCAAACTTGGCCTGGCTTCGCTGCTTCGCTCACAAACCTGTTATAGGATGTTATAGGATTATTTTTCAGGATTTTTCAGGTATCTTAAAAGAGTGGGAATAAGTGGGGTTCTGAATTTTCGAAAATTTGTGTGGACGTAGAACTTTGTTTGAGGGTAGCCGTCTTGAGGCATTGTTTTTAATAAGTCCCGAGTTCCCATATAGGGGATGAACAGTACTTGCAAGGATCTTTTCCTTCACAGCATGAAATCAAGTCCGAAATCTTGACCATGACCAAAACAACGTAAAACAACCAAACCATATTGAGTTTCTGAAAATTCTTCAGCTTTTCCCTGAGGACGAACGTGTTGATGGCGCCTGTGGACGGTAAGGTGTCGCTCTCACTATGCCAAATGCTTGAGAGTGAAAAGAAGGCTGCTGCCGCGGTTTCTTGACGCTGAGAATGGTTTGAACTGTGAATGATCCTTGAATTCCACCTTCGATCTGATTTTGTGATGTGTGAACTCTGATTTACAGAATTTACTGATTGATAAAAATGCTGGTAACTCACTCAGAGTTATCTGCCAAGATCTCTGAGGCTTGATAAAGGTAGAGTTTATCATTCTTATGTCACATGCCAAGGCTGCCAAAGTCAGTTCTGGTCATGCTGAATGTCGCAAAACATTATTCATCACAACTTTCCAATTCAGTTGGCTTCATCGATTACCACTCTGTGAAGCCAACTCTTCAGCTTGGTCAAGCTGAGGCTCTCAAGGCAGGCACAGACGATGAGGACCACCAGGGAAGCTCTGGAAGCCCTGGCAGGAGTAACAAAAAATCCGTAAATTTACGGGAATGTAAAACAAAACTCACAGAACATTTTCAATACGCTATGTGATGTTGTCAAATACATATCTAACAGTAATAGAATCCAGTTGCCAGTTTTTCCTTGATCTCTAAAGAACTTCTTGGCCTTGGTCCGCAGCTTCAAGAGCTTCAAAATCCCATGGATGAAGGTAGGAAGTGTAGCTGTTTCGTGGCGAGGATGGATCGTTTGTGCCAGCGTTTCGCTTGCCCTCGCTTCAGCAAATTCCACTGTGCCTCGTGAGCATGAACGATTCTACGATTTCCTGATGTATATCACTGAAGGAAAACCTGAGCTTCGTCAATATCTTGTGCGAAAGATGCTGCTGCACATCTCTACCCCAGCTTGGATACCTCCTGCATGTCCCGCACCTAACCGGCCCTTGGCTCGCCGTGGTCGTGAACAAATCAAAGAACTGAAGGTGGTGGTGCTCATTGCCACACCCCTCAAATCCTTTGAGTGGCGACAGATGGTGCGACACACTCTTCCAGAGCTGACTTCGATTCTCAGTTATGGGTGAGAGTAAAGAGCTGTTTGCTGATGACGTTCAGTCAAGTCCAGGATTTCAGTGAAGTACAGTATATATAGGTGGCTCAAATACAATCACAAATCTGCGGGGCACTCAAACTCTTAGCAGCTCACTTAGTGAACTACAGCGAACTATCGACCAAGGAACGTTGAGATTGGATGCCCCGTCTTTATTGTGCCTCGTTTTGCAGTTGGCTCCGGGACAGTCACGCCCTTGCTACGGTATGAAGCCGAAACGTACGGAGATCTTGCGATTCTGAACATGACTGTAACTTGGTGGAATTCTTTGACCTTTTTGACCCAGTTGCTCGCACTTCGCATATAATATAATCAAATCCTGCCAATACTGTACACCCCCCTGGAAACCATGGTTTATAGTTTTGGATCTATTCAATTTGGGGGTTCCATATGGGGGGGATGTCGAATACTTAGGGGGATGGGATGAATGACATGCAGCTGTCCTTCACTAGCATGCGGCATGCGTATAGACATGGAGCCATCTTAAGACACATCACAATATCACCTGAACCAGCTTCGGAATCCACGAGGACAGCTTCGTTTCTGCAGGGCAGAATTCAGAAAAGACTTGGTTGTCGTTCCGCTGGGCGTTGGAAAGACATCCGGACGCACAGCTGATTTTTCATCAGGATAGCGATACTCTGGTCGATTGGCGTCAAGCCTTGCCGCGCTTTTTGCGTCGTATTTTCCCAGACTTGCCTCCCGAAGCGCAAGAGTTGCGGAGCCTCGGACTTGTGAAGGTCAGTTGGACTTGGACATTTGCAATGAAATGTATGAAATGTGGGTTTGTCTGAAAATAGGCTACCCCGAGATCCATTGGTTAATCATTATCCCGGATTATCCCTATTGCAGCATATTAAAGAATTAAAAGCCCATTTTCAGACAACCCCATATAGTCAATTGCCCTGCCTTCCCGGGCGAGGTTCTTGCAGCTGGGACGTTTGTGCGAGCGAGTGCCGACACATTTGTTGGCCGGGTGTCCAGGGTCTGTCGAACTGGAGCCCTGTGGTGCTGGTTCGCTGTATGGTTTCTCCAGCGATGTGGTGCGGTGGATGGTGGAAACACAACGACCTGAGGCACCGGGACAGTTTTTCGAGAACGGTTTAAGCCTTGTTTAACAAGGTGATGCCACGAGATGACGTAAGAATACGCAAGATACAATGAATTGTTGGCTTTCGGATGCTTTGGGGACTTGAACAGCTCAGAACTGCTCAGAACGTGCTGAATGTACACAGTTGTGACTTTATGTGGCCAGAAATTTCAGGTTGGACACCGCATGAACTACGAAGACCTGCATGCTTGCCGTTGGGCACGCCATTTTGAACAACACATTGGAACCTCCCTGGATGTTTGCGGCCTTCTGCGTGCGCGAGACTTTCAGAATGCATGGATTCATCCCCTCAAGGACCAAGTTGTGAAGGCGGAGATTGACCATCATCTAATTATATATAAATTATATATATATATATCTAATTAGACTGTCTTAGTCTATCTTGGTCTATCCCAGTCTATCTCAGATCAGGTCCAATTTCATCTCAGGATCTGGTATTTTCATGTATTTTCAAGTGATGCCATCGTTGCTTGACATCACACCTTGCCTTCTGAAGGACCAGCAAACATATTTGACGTGCTTCCGAAATCGAACGCACGGTTGCTGGGCGAACGACCTGGGATTGCAGCGCTTGCATTTTGTGATGCAAAAGTCAACGCAGCGTTGCAGCCAGCATGTGGTGAGAAGGGTAAGAAAACTGCTGAGTTCTTACATGCTCAATGTAGTTGAAGATAGCTTCCAAACAGAAGCTTAAGGGAACATGGTTTCAGTTGGGGATTTGGAACAAACAGCAACACAGAACTGGGCACCACATTGATTAGTCTGCCGAATCACCCAACTGGCTTTGAAGAAGGCAGCCGGTAATCTGACCTAACTGTGCCGTGGTCAATTGCAGCAACCTTCAACGAGTTCGCTCAATTTGCTGAGGAAATTTGTGGGACCTTGAAGCTGAGAATTCTTGAGTTTCCATATGTTTCCATATGTTTCCATATGTTTCCATGTAGGAAGTGGGTCAAATGATTGGAGAGTAGCTACTATTTGGAGCCCGATGGGATACGATGGGATCATTGATCCAGGAACACACTGCACCTCCGAAGAAGAGTTTCCAGCCCTACCATGCACAGAGTGTGCCGAAGTCAGAAGACCTGGAGGTCCGACACTGCGACGCCTTTTGCACCTGGTTCTGAAAAAAACATGGACCTAAGACATGGCACTAAGGTCACTAGTCAACATCACCAGATTTAGATGTCTGCTGTATGCTATCATATCAATTATACGTATCAATCATATTAAAAAACATATCAATCATATCAATCATATTAATCATATCAATCATATCAATGACATCGAAAAGATACGCGCACCCACAGAGCAATTCTATGATGAATTTATTGGGTTTATCTGAGAATCCATTTGGTACCCTCCTTACAGACATATTCAGACAAAGCCAATTTCTATTTTCACAGAAAGCAATCAGTTTCCAGTGGTTGTGATCGTTTGTATATAATGCTAATGCACCACATCGCTTGCCACACTCCACCGTCGTTTGATAGTGGAGGCCGTCGCATTCAGCCGACAAAACAGTGGAGAGGTCGGAGATGTCCGGTGCCCAAAGGAGGGATTGATGGGATGCACGCTGAGTTCTGCTGATTTATTTCCAATCAGCAACAAGGTGACTACCATGATGCTTCGCAACATCCCCAACAAGTACACGCAAAATTCGCTCCTCCAGGATGCACAACACGTGCAACACGGGAAAAAACAACATGTGGGGCTGTTGCCTGCTGTCAGTCTTGGAGCTGGCTTGTCAGTTTGAAGATGTATCAAGTATAGAATTTTTCTTTCCACTGGTACTGGTATAACTATATATATAGAATATCATATATATATATATTTCAGAAAGGCTTGTTGCCAGCGCTGAAATCACCAATTGTTTGTATAGATTCATTGTTTTTTGTCGATATATTACATGATCTTATGCTTTTTTGTTGTCCATGCACAAGCCTTTTTTCCATTAGAAATACAGACAGGCTTGTTGTGGGCGCGCAAAAGGCAATTTGTTTCCCCAAATACATTACATGTTCTAAAACCATATTGGCCTTTTGCTGTCCATACACAAGCCTTTTCTAATGGAAATAGAGCTTAGAGTGGTTAATCACCCAAAACCACCCAAAAAACAAAAGAAACAAAAAAAGCAAAAAAAACAAAAAACATGTTTTGGGGACTACTTGGATCTAGGCATGTTCAGACTAGTCTGGAAAGCATTGTTCTTTTTTTTTTTTGTTTCTTTGTTTTTTCTGGTTTCTTTTTTTTTGGTTGTTTCTTTGGGTTTTTGATTCCTTAGGATTAATCCAGATTAATCCAAACCAAATCTGATTCATTTTGCCCCCAAGGCATTCTTGTGAAGTCATTACTTAAAAAAAACTTGTATGCTCAGGGGATGTGCAATTTGCCTTTTCAGGTGTGAAGCCCGTGGGGATGTAAAATTATGTTTTTGGTGAAGGAAACAGTTCCTTCAAATAAATAGTGTTCCCGTCCCAGTAAAGCGCAGCTGGAGTTCTTTAACAGGAGTGTTACATATTTACAAAGAAATGGTGTGATTGAAAGGATTGTTACATATTTTCAAATCATGGTGTAACTTTCAAAAGATGCAGCTGATTCAATTTTGGTGAGTAAAACATTTCCTTCAAACAATGTCGTTCCTTCCAAACAAATGGCAGCTGGGTTTCTTTGAAAGGAGTGTTACATTTTTTTAAAGAAATGGTGCTACTTTCAAACATAAAGGCCAGCTGAGTTTCTTTGAGAGGAATGTTACATCTTTAAAGGGGACAGTGCATATTTTGACACAATATTATTTCTGTTCTTTAAACTATTCTGTTTAAATTTGTTTAAATACGATTGCAACTTTAAGTTAAATATTCAATCTTTGGAGAAAACAGCATCTGCCTGAAGGAATGTTACCATGATAAAGGAAAGACAGGAATATTGCACTTTAGAACACAATACACATTGTAGATAACACATATTGTTCTTAAGAAATTCAACCTTCACAAACATATTTCTTCCTGAAAACAACATTTGACTAGCTCAAAAGCAACCACCAGCTTGTAAATAACAACAACTTTTTGGTTGAAGTGGATGCTTTGTAAGGAAAATTGCACTTCTTTGAAGAACCTCATTTCTTCAAAGCATTGTCTGCTGGGAATGTAGCACAGGCATACAACTTCATAGATTATATACAGATATCTCTCTTTGGGCAATGAAAGCAAGTGAAAACAACTGCATTGCCTGATATTGTTTGCAATTTTGCGTGTAGCTCAATATGTTGCATTTTCTTTGGTCAACTGCTGCGCAGCTCAATATGTTGCATTTTCTTTGTCGCATTGTTGTGTACTTACACACCTGTTTGAAAACACCAGGGAATTTCCTTAATTTTCTAACTGAAACAGGCCTTGTAGATGAATTGAGGTTGTGTTTCAAAGACGACTCATTTTTTTCAAAAGAATGTGGTATTGTAATTACCACAATTGTATGGAAACATGACAGTAGTGTATCCCTAGGTTTCAAAACAATATATATATATTTCCAATTTTCATGATGTTTGCCACACAAAAAGAAGGATACTGTAACTATTGTTTATGAGAGGTACATAACCTGAACTTATCCACTGTAATTTTGCATTTTATATTACATACATATTCTGTTGCAGCTAATGCTTCAAAGTGGAGATATCTACTGTTTCCTCTTCTAGGGTGGAATTTCTTCTTGGAATTTGCAACATTTTGAACCTAATGACTACCATTGTTCTAAGGAAGTGCATTTTACAGCTGAATATGTGTTTTTTCCAGGCCTCCTCCTTTTAAACATCCTATTTGGTTATGACCATTTCCCAAAGGATACAAGAACATGAGGAACGCCTACTTTCCAGCGCTGGCAACAAACCCGTCTCATATATTTATAATATATATATATATTTATGATATAAGTATATCTTAAACTTGTTTTGCTCAAGTTTTCAAGTATCTTTTGTGGAGTTATCCCCCCTTAAACATAGTTTTTTTTTTTCCAAGTTGACGTACTGACGCAGCGTGCGCAAGGAGATTAATGACTTGGGATTTACCGGCACCTTTGATTTCTTCTACCTTCCGCCACTTGCCTGAAACACAAGTGGTTCACTTCTGTTACTCATTCGAGCAACTCGGGAAGTTGGAGATGGCAAAAGTGGTTGCATGTGTGGAATGTACAACATGAAAATGAGAAGACTTGCTGTACATGTTCAGAACGGAAATCCTTGTCCCCGTAGTCCATGCTCCCCCAGCTACAGGATGGATGTCCACAACCGCAGCAACGTTGGCTACGCCTTTATCAATTTTCTGCGTCCAGATGATGCCGAGCCTTCGGCAAAAACGACAAGGGTGATGCAAAATGAACCATAATAAAAGCTATTAAAAGCTGCTGGGTACTATAAGATCTATAAGAGGCCACGCTTTTACCATCATACTTTTTGATACTTTTTGTTCTTCATACTGCTTCGATTGGTATAATCTGCATCTGCGCACTGATGATGCACTGATGCTGGACGAATGCCAGGAGCTGTTCCGTCAGAAGTTCTCGGATCATCGGTTCCAGCGATTCCAAAGCCGCAAGATCAGCAGCGTTTGTACTGCACATGTTCAGGTCCGGGAAAAGCTGTCACTTTTGAATTCATATTGGATGATATTGGACGATGGGAAGACGTGGAAATGATGTGAAATGAGAAAACGGATACTAAGAGATGCTAAGAATGGGAGATTAATCTTAATTGGATTTCAGCAATGCCTGCAAAGCTCCAGGCAGTTTATCATTGATTGGCTAGTGGATGAATCGGTCGAATCCTCTGCACGGTGCAGGGCTTACATGAGAACCTGCAGCATTTCCAGAATCGCGCTGTGACGCATGCGAGGCAGTGGGGGTTGGTAGATTTGATTCGGCCATGAACCGAGAGAAGATTCCAAATCGATTCCAAGATGAAATTCTCATCAGATATGACATGGTCCTTCCCAAGAGCTTCTCAAGTTTTGGTCAAGACAAAGTGATTCATTGCCGTCATCAATATCGCCTCCAACTTTCTTCGCCAACGACTTTGATGTTGATTGTCATTGCCATGATTCTTACATATTCTTACTGTGCCTTGGTAGCTGTGCCTTGGTAGTTGTGCAAAAATGGAGCTTGGCAAATGCCAGGAACGACCAGTACAGGCCTGTGGTTTTCCGCCTCCTGTCAGCAGCTGGCATTGCCATTTGGTTTTTCCATCAACACCTTCACCGTTTTTACTCTACGATTCTTATTTTTATCATTTTTTTGAACATCAATAAGTCAAACATTGTCAGGATGCCTGAACTGTTGATCTCCCATGGTAACCTCGCTTTGAACACCGAGGCAACGGTTGCCGTGTGGACATTGAGGACATTCTGGCAGAAGGGAAGAGCTCTGGCTCGGAAGATGAGAAGCCGCGAGCGAAGAAGGTGCCAGCGCCGACCCGCTGAGTGGCTGGACATGTGTGGAACACGTTGGGCATCAAGGGGTTCAAGCTGAAATATGGATTACTACAGTATTTCAATCATGATAAATATGGAAATATGGAGCATACTGGGAGATGTTGGTATGACTGGCATGAGAATATGAGACATGGAGACCGTGGCTTCGGAGTCTATTTTAGAGGAGTCCCTGAATCCTGAGGAGGAGCGTAAGACCAAGGGCAAGGCTGAGCCAAAGCGTTTGGATCTGAGATGATCTCGTGGGTCTCTATGTTCATATATAATCCCCAAACCCATGTCATTATCTATAATGACCCAGATATATTATACATATATAATGTTTCGTGGGATGTTTTGTGGGAACACCAGGTCACCAGGAACGACATCGATGACATGGGTTGAGGGGCACCGCTGGGATGAGGTGCACCTGCGACCTCCAAGACATCCGTACCGAAGACCGGCCGCAAAGGCCAAGAAGGCAAGACGTGGCAAGACATGGCAAGACCACCCTGCATGAGACCCTGTAATATCTCTGTAGAATCTGTAGAGATGTGGAATGTTGTTGATAGCTGTCAACTGTGTCAACTGTGTCAACAGTGTCAACGGTGTCAACGTTTGATTTTGGGCTCATGAAACGCCAAACTACACCAGTTGCGGCGCAGGTTTGGAGGAGGCCATCCGCCAGAGTCTGGAGGCCTTGCAGGAACGCATGTCTTCCCAGGCCATGGCGGAAATTCCGGGAATTCCTGGCTGTCCAGTGGCTGCATATGGCACAACGATAATGATGTATATATATAATATGTATAGAATATATATAATATGTATAGAATATATATAATATGTATAGAATATATATAATATGTATAGAATATATATATATATACATACATATAATGACGGGTATAAACGGACCTTTTTAAGCAATCCAACAAAAACCTGTGTGTCAACATATGATGGTAGATCTGGATGAATCTGATCACAATCGTATGTGGCGAGGTCGCTGGAATGATGATTCGTAGGGGTAACTATCCCAGCATTGCTAGCTTTTAAGCTTAGTAAACTATTGCAAATTATCCATATGACATGACATACATATATACTATATATATATATATGTGCCAATGTATCAAGTCTTGAATCCTGGAATATTGAAACTTGTCTGATAAGTGTAGTCTACTTTCACATCTACGTGTAAATACATATCCAGATCCACATTGAAATCACTATCCAACGACTGGGTCGTGGAGCTTGGCAGGAGTCGCCATTGTCGCCCCCACCTGGCATCTTGGCTGACAGGTGGCAGGTATCAGCAGATCTCCCAACGATTCCGAAACTCAGAGATATCACTTGATATCACTGATATGATTCTTTCGTTCAGGTTGTTTCAGCTTGTTGAAACATATCAGCCACACCACATGTTTTGAGCTTTGTCTAATCATAGTCCCACCAGCGCCAAAGCCGAGGTCTTACGCCACCCTTTGAGCCTGTGGCCATGGAACAGCAAGTTCAGATGGGCCAGGCGCCGGTAGCGCCAGCTTCCAAGCTAAAACTGTCAAGACAAATCATCACCTGACACAGTACATCTAGGTGCAAAGAAGGTCAAGCAAGGAGACTTCTTCTGGACAGCTTTGACACTCTGTATAGGATTTTCTGTCTCCATCCGATTCTGATGGATTCCTCTTTGCTGTTCTCTCCGATTTTGATCACAGCTCAACGGTCACCACTGCGCACAGGAGCAGGAAGTGATGCAGCTGCTAAACCTGCGAGGCTGGACCAGATTTGACCAGATGGAAGGCCATAAATTTGGTCATGTTTGAGCAGAAAAATTGGACCCCCAAAATCCACCTATGTGGGGTAAGTAGCACCTATACTGCTTGATAATCCCAAGAGTAAAGGCCCTAATTTTCTACAATTTTCCGCGGTGTATAAAAATCGGCATGGTTCAAATTGTTGGGCTTTCCACGTTCTTTGGCATAGTGAGGTTTGGCGCAATCTCGTCACCCCGAAACAGACCTAGACCCACCCTTGCAGTGGAATGCCTTTGTATCCAGTTTCACAGGTCTACTGCTGGACCGCCTTCTGCATAAGGAGGCCCAAAATGACAACGATCGGGTGAGGGTGGCCAGATACTTGGTACCACCCTCTTTGCTTTCCTTGTTTGCATGCGTTTTCAAACGTTCCCAATCCTTTTCCTTGTCCACACTCAAAGTCCAGGTAGACACCACAAGTTTGTGACTTTATGTGTCCAGTCCAACGCGCGTTTTGACAGGTGCTTGGAAACAGATATTCTTCATATTTTCATTCACTACTAAAAACACTCGTTTTTGTTGGCTGCAGATGAAAGCACAGCTACGCAGCTACACTATTCTTTAGCTGTAGCTGTTCCAGCAAAGCAAACGACCCGCAGCCCCTTCGCATATTGGTACACAGAATGTGTTTGAGAGAAGGAACATTCACGCCAGGAGAACTTCGCTTACAACCAGGCGGCTGCCTTTTTGGCCATGCAGCAACTCCAGGACTGCTCCTGTGACCGCTTGAAGACTTGGAAAGGAAGCTACTTCCGAAGAAACAAATATAGGACAACAACGGACACCAAAGATTTGTTGGGTGGCAACCCTGACAGTGTTCTTTGCCTCAAGAGCCCCTACCCTCAGGCATTGACAGTGAGAGGTTGAAAACTTCAGCTGGATGTAAAAAGAATAGAATAGCTAATTACAAAGTTCTGTGGGACAGCAATGGTGCATGATAAGTCTGGATACCACCCAGTGTTTCCAATCAACCTTGTCAAGCACTGCAAGGAGCAGCAGTACATGCAGATGCAAAGCCCGCCAATGTGCCCCGTGCAACGTGGACGCAAAGTTTTGACCGTTTCAAGCCAAGCCAGCAGTACATAGAATGTTCCCAACGAAGGAACAGCAATATTTATGGCATTTATGGGGTCCTCAATTTTGAGTCAAACTCAGCTTTCTTTAGGGAAAGGAAGAGAATTTGTGAAAATTTGGGCTCGGGATGAGCCGGATGAGCGCTGAGAAAGAGAAATCAGATGCAGTCAAACTAAATCAAATGCGGTTCATCATGGTTCAGGACATTTCAGGACTACCTACCTGTAGCAATTCATCCTGAAGATCTCTAATAATTCTTTCCTAATGTCGCAGCTCAGTTTGTTTCGTCTTTGGATCCAGGCCATATCCGGAGTCCAAGTGGGAGGATCCAGCCTACGTGGATGTGAACCTTGGCCAACAGATCAACCATTTCTCCCAGCAACGCTTCTGTTGTCGAAAGCCGGTTTTGGACCTAACTTGGACCTAACTTTGTACTATGACTTCTAAATACCCACACATCTGCTTTTGGAATGGCAAGGAATCCATCCTTCATGGGAAAGGCTGGGGCGGTAAAGCCTGCAATCACGAACTCAAGAGCAAGTTCTTGTCAGATTTTGTTTTGCATCCGGAATGAACATTGAGAAGATTTGGCACGGTCTTCAGTCGTCCTGTGCACATCGCAACTCACTTGCCATCCACATGTTGTCTCTGAAAATAGGCTATACATATGAATATACCCCCAAAATCCCCAAAATGACAATCTCAAAACGTTTAAACTATGGCTTCACCATCCATTTCTTGGCGGTCCCAACATTTTTTTTTGGGCCCAGCAGGATGCCACCAGTTTCGGCTTCAGGGCTTCAACAACTTCGAGACAGACATGCCAACTCCTCGCACCAATCAGCTGATGTTGGAAGGATCTCTTGAGAGTTCCATGGCGGATGATGAACTGGGAGGATTCTGAGGAAAGTGCCGCAGAAAACTTGCAACATCATGATATCATATAATATGATATCATGTTCAGATCCTGGAATGGTGGTCCGATCCTCATGGTCCCATGGTGGTTCCCTATCCAACCTGGATCAACCTGCAATGGTCATGATTGCCTTGGACCCGAGGTTTTTGAGCATTGAGGGTGTGAAAATCGCCATAAATCGCCACAGCGGAGATGGTAGCATCGCCGAAAGCCTTGAGCCATGTGAGGCAGTTGATGCTTGGAAAAAGATCTTTGAATCCTGTTCGAAATTATTGAATATATCAATCAAAACAAGACACTTAAGAAATCTTAAGAATATAATTATATATAATTGCATAAGAGGCAGAATAAGAGGAGAACATAGTGTGCCACAGGATTCATTTTTTGATGCTCTGTCTTTTGGGGGAACGAAGTATGCTGATGACATTAGATGACCGTATGGACTGTACTGGTTTTGGTGACGGCTACACCAGTGCAACCTAGGGCAATCCGGGTTTGGAAAGCACAGCTTTTTTGCAACAGGGCTTTGATGTGCCATGTCCTGCCGTTTCATTTCGCTGGGACCCCAACGTGATCCTGCGCGAGTGGCATGACTCTGTAGGTTGGCATGTAGATGAAATGAGCCGGTAGCTATAAGACCGGGAGATCATGATTTCTTGTTGTGTTTCTTGTTCGCAATAATTTGTTTGCCAGCACATTGTGTTCTTGTTTCGGATGTTTCGGGTGTTTCGGATTTGGTCACAAAGTGGATACGGCTCATATAGTGCTTCAGCATCTCAGCCTGGAGGGCTGAAACTGTGGCGCCTGATCTGGACGGGCGAGCCTCGTCTCGGTGCTCAGGTGAGGTCTAGGCTTCGGCTGCAGATCACCTGACACCGACTACACAGCCGTCAACGAACTTGGCAAACTTCGCAAGGAGTTCCGCAGCACAGTCTTTCCTGGCCTTTTGAAGTGCCATGGGTACGCCTGGAAAATGATCGAACCGAGCACGTTTTCTTCGCTCACCGATCATTTGGCACGGCGCACCATCAAACCGCCAACACTTGGCGACGTCACTGGACTTTCTGACGCAGCATGCCTAGAGTGCACATCAAGTACCATAACGAAAGCATAGGTTTAACATGTCTTAACATCCCTTGGCATCCGTTAATTTATCAAATTCACAATGGAACAGAAACACAGCATACTGATCCTTCAATGGGGTACCATGGATTTGTGCTCTTTGTTGATTCAATAGCTGCGTGCTCGGCTCCTTTCATGAAAGCCGAAGTTCCAGTGAGTCGATTTGCGTCATTAAACGCTCTGCTCTGCTGTAAGCTGGAAATCGCCTTTGACAGGACAAGGGACTGCAGATTGTGGTAGCATGGAATGCAATCCTATGAATATCATTGAATATCAATAGAGATGCAGGTTTCTCGCGTCTCGCGTTTCTCACAAGTCTTACAGTGTTCCCATGTATTTCCATGTATTTGCGACCAATTTAAGCTCGCTCAAAAAAGAGATTCAGAAGCTTCCTAGTTCTCCCCCATGGTCCAATGTATAGAGTATCGCACAGAATGCGCGGTCCAAATGCGTGAAGAAGGGCGGAGTTCCGTGGTGGGAACATGATGGAAAATGGTAGCGTTGACTGATGACTGGAACTTCGAATCAAGTCAGAACCCAACCAGATTCACCTCTAGAAACTATTGTGCCAAAGCTACAGAATGCTACATACGTGACAAGGTAACGACCACCAAGTTGGCTAGCGAAGTCTCTCAGACTCTTAACCTACAGAATTTAAGCGGTTTCCAGGCAGCACTGGTCTTCCATGAATGCGCAGCGACTGCTGGACACACGTGTGAGCTGCGATCTTTGTACGGTCAATTAAAATTCAACAAGCATAGCTCACAAAGAATACTGTAATAGCATATTAGAGCGGCTTAGGCTGTTCAGCAATCGGTGAATGTGATTTGCCCCAGCAACGGACGGCTGTTTTTCAAAGCAAGTGCACCGTTGGGGGCCACTCCGTTCGTCACCCGAAGCCGTTCCACAAGCCTTTTCATGGCATTAAGGAATCACTGTTCATCCAGTCACATTATGTAACATTAGTCACCTACCTCTTGACTTCAAGTTTTGCTATTGATACTATGAGTTCTTTTGCCTGTGTGACATGACCCCCTAAAAAACCCGCTTGGCCCCTGATTGGGTATGACTGGGTTATGTCATGCATGTCCAGAAGGGAAAGGGTTGCCTCACGCTCACAAAATCATCCTATAGCATCCTATAGCCATTTGAGGCCAAGTTCCTCCATGTCGATGTTCACCCTACAGTAATCTTTATATACCAATATTGACTTAGGAAGCAACTATTGCAATACATTGCAATACATTGCAATACATTGCAATACATTGCAGTCTAAGAATGCGAGGCGTTGTGGGCATACCTTGATGCAGGTATGACGCACGGGTGATGCGACAGGAGCAATCTACGAATTGGGCAGTGCGAGCGCGTTGGTCGCTCACATCTTCGTGCAACGCCAAGACATATCAGCGTATGGAGAATCTTCGTTCAGCTTAGCACTGTACTTTGGGATGATCACTGGGAAGGGCAGTGGCGAGTGCGAAGACAAGCTCTGTGAGCAAAAGCCCGAGGACTGTATAATCCGTGCAGGAGGTAATCTCCAGCAGCCTTGGATATGATTCACATTTGCTGCATAGAAAAAGGTTTCAAAAGATATAAATAGGATCTTAGACACAGAATGACATAGACACACACACACACACAGGTGTTTTGTTTTTCCCTGTGCCTGGTGAGCCCAGAATCAATGATTTCAATGGCTGCTGCACCACAGACCTGCCAAGTCAGTTGCGTGAGATGCGGTCTGAACACACCAACCCAATGGTGTGTTCGCGTTTGACCCAAATCGATGGCAAAGATGTTTTCGGATCTCGAAGCATGACACTGCTGGTCAAAATTCTAAGATGTGGATTTCGATGTATTTGGCGAGCAATTCATTGAGACTTCAATGGGACATATGGGACTTGAAGGATCTTTCGTGATCAGGATGGGACATATGATGGCATCCATTTTTCCCTCCGGATCGGTTACAAACAAAGGATGCGGAGCGACACGTTCAGGCATGATACGTGCTTCGAGACAGATTGTGTGGCCAATTTCTAAAACCACAGGTACAACGGGGGTGGCTCCGCATATAACGGCTTTCCGGTTTTGCAGTGTCTCAAGCTTCAGGTAATGTATTTTAATTGGATAGGTGGGAAGTTCATGCTTGGCTACAATAACAACCATTCTGTTCAAATGTATGAAAGTGCATGGTGATCTAAGGGCAGATGCAGCAGCCAGTCATTATATCAATAGCATCATCTCGCTCACACTCAATAGGTTTCCTTGTAGCTGCGCTGCGTTATATCTATAATATTATATAATATACCACATATAATATGTATGTATATATATATACACCGTATATAGTATATACAAATACACATGCATATCCCCACTATGCTTAGTTTCATATCCTGAATTTGTTTGGAGGTGAATCCCCCATTCTTCATGCACAAAGCCAGCCACGCACCGTAGCTGCGGCGGAGTCGCCTGACCTACCTGTGGGGTTTCGTTTCTTGAGGGCCAGGTGGCGGTTGCGACAAAGGCAGCGTGGTGAAACTGAGGGGTGAAATGCCCAAAGAAGACACAGATGCAGCATGAAATACCACTAGTCACTTCAAAACAAACACATGAATCCATCTACATTGTCTGGATAGTCTTTATAGGACAACTGAGATACATGAAGTGGAAACAAGACTTGCTACAGATCCTGTTTTGGCACATTGCTGTCCTGCCAATTTCCACCGGGTCAAAATTCAGTGGGCGCTTGGTTTGGGGCTTCTCTTGGGCGCATGCCTACGGTGCCTACGGCCCTTTGGGACCACAGACTCGGCCAGGGTTCCCATTTGAAAACCCGCCGTCATGTGTGCATGGTAGATGTCCCGAGTGACGCAGCAGCAGTGCCTTGGAAGCGCCGAAACACATGACTCGCATGAAATGTACATTGCTGGAGGGCTCTACCCAGAACAGCACATGGATTCTGAGAGATCGTGAGAGGCATTCCATAAGAGAAACAACCAACCTTTGTATGAAGCAGCTCTGAAAGCCATTGCATTTGTTGATATAAGCAAGATTAAGCAAGTTTGTATTTGAGATCGATGCCGATCATGTTGACCTTGTCTCCTTTTGTTCATTATATTTATTTTCTTTCCGATTAGAGCTTTGACACGAAGGTACACTTGAAGAAGTTGATGCTATGTGTGCTTGAAGATAGTTGGAGACAGTTGGAGTGATTTCGAGAGTTGGCACGTGAACCCCTGCTGCTGGACACCGGGAGTACGCCGGCGATGCTACCGATGTGTCGAAGGAGCTGTCGCAGGAATTCTTCGAATCCTGCACTTTTGGTGTGGGAGCGACATTCGCTTGTTTTCCACAGCTGTCGGTCTTCCTCATTGGCGATTTCAAGTGCAATTTGATCTCTCCGACCCAATTCTCTTGCGCCCAGATGAATCCCAGATTCGGCAAAAGTTTGGGGGGCAGTGGGTGCAGGTTGTCCAGGGTTTTGGTTCTTTGCATCGCGGCAAGACACCAACGTAGCCAAGTGACACTGCAAGACTTCAACTGAGCAATTCTCCCCAGAAATACTTGGAGCATTGACCTGAATTTGTAGTGACCTCTTTGTCTATTTTTGTCTTGTTTCCAAGATTTTCCATTTGCAACTACGACTCCAGCATGATTATCTATAAATGGCGATGAAAGCCTACATGACCTCCTTCTTTCGAATTGGCCAGTGCCTTATCTGGCTGCCAGGTGTGCCAGGGTTGACGTCGAGGCTTGCCTTTCCAGTCACATTTGCTTCAACTCTTGACACTGAACGGTGGCCCAGTAAATCCACAGACTCATTTGACAACTGATTATTGTTTATAATATATTATATATCCACAATATCATATTATGCTATATTATACTATATTATATTATATTATATTATGTTATATTATATTATATTATGTTATATTATAGTATATTATATTATATTATATTGCTCAGAGATCCGACAATGAACTGACAATATCCAGCCGAGTCATCCAGAACCAGCCAGGTTTCACCATCCCAGAGAGAGTGACCAGCTCTGCCGTTTCCATCTCCTTCCACCAGCGATCCGACTCCCTGAGCTTCAAGGCCGCGAGGCCATAATGTCCAACATTCCATGGTCAAAAGAAGATTGAAATTACTTGTTTTTTTTGGCGCCAGGTGTAAGCGCACTGGGTAGTGTCGTTCCTCAAGCAGTCGCATCTAGCTGCTGGCGGGAGTTTCCCAGTTACTAATGCGCCCTTTACCGCTTAAGTCAGAGACACGGACCTGTCATAGTGCGAAGTGCCAACTTCAGGTTTCATCTGCTCGTCCATTGATCACCTGATTCACCTTCGGTATCCTTCGGTCTTGTTGGATCCCGATAGGGAGAATTTATGACCTCTTAATACCTCTTGTTAATATCTCTTAATTGTTGCTTTTTGCCGCATTTGGTAAATGACTTCCGGTGAAACCTGCTGGATTCGGGGTTGACAAAGGTCGCCTAGGACCGACCATGGGTGGCACTGAGGCCACTGCCCAGACTCTGAATGTGCAGAGTTGGGTGGTGGATGGCAGTAGGCTGCAGGTCGTTGCGGAAAACCAGTGTCCGAGAGTTAGACACCCACAGGAATCCTCTAAGACTTGCCATCTTAATATGCTAAACATGAACGTATCCAGAGGATCCTAAACCCTTTTCCTAGACCGCAGACATCCTCGTGCATTGATCATGGGGGCAACACTGCGATACTGTCATTTGGTGGTTCACAGCGATCTATGTGCATCCGAACTGTGCCTACCGACATAAACTTGCGCGGCAGCCCAGATGTTGGGGACCAGGGAGCAAGTTGAGCCATAGGAGCAGGGAAGCCATTTCGATTTTGAAGATGGCCAACATATGTAGAGTCAAGTTGCCGAAGGTCATTAAAAAACAGACCAAATGTATAGAGCTCTGCCAAGGTCTGTTACCATGGCGATGATGACTGGTGCCGTTTGCTTCACATCCTCCGTCACCACCATGGTGTGCCCGGATGTGAGGGACAACATGAACGCTGCTGCTCAATTCATACACAGACACAATATGTAGTACTATAACACAAGATGATATAACATATTCTAATCTAGTATGATATGATATGATATGATATATAATATATCATATTATATTATATTATATTATGTTATGTTATATTGTATTATATTATATTATATCATATTATAGCATATTATATTATATTATATTGTATTATATTATATCATGTACTACTACTACTACTACTAATAACATGATATGATATAATATAATATAATATGATATAATATAATATAACACAATATAATATAATACAACATAATATAACTAAGTGGTCTGTGGAAGGTCATCCTTGGCAGATTCTCTATAGATTTTTGAGTTGCCTGTGACAGGCACGCCACCCTGCTCTCCGCTCCTCACACTCACGCTCGCCTGGATGCACAGAAGACTCACCTTGGTTTCCACTGCAGCTGGATATTAGGAGGTTTCTATTTTAATAGGGGTCCCCCCAAATCATCCATTTTATCTAATTATTTTTATTGGAATTTCCATTATTAATAACCCATCCAGCTATTGGGATATCCCCATTTTTGGGAAACATCCAGTAATACTGTAGCTGGATCAGGTCAACGTCATCGTCGTCGCGATCATCATCGTCATCGTCGGCGTCACTTTGAGGAAGCAGCACGTGCGGAGGCATTGACGCCAAGGTTTGGAAACACCTTTGAGTTTTATAGAAGTTGAGATGCATATATCTATCTATGCACCTACCTATGTACCTACCTATGTATGATCTATGTATCATCTATGTATCGATGTTGTATCTAGCATGTATCTATGTATCATGTGTCATGTATCCATCTGTCTATCTGTCTTTATCTGTCTGTCTATCTGTCTATCTATCTCTCTTTCTTTCTTTCTTTCTATATCTATACGTCAGGAGTGATGGAAGCTAGGTCTGTTTTCAGAATCTTTCTGTCAACACGACCCTTGACCTGCCTTGGCGTCTGATTCTCTCCATCTGATCCCCAGGAGTGAGGCCGACCGTCCGAAGCTTCTCCTTCAGGCCACCAGCTTGGAAGAAAATCAGCAGATTTTGAACAATTGAACACATATGGTGCAATGTTTTTGACCCTCTTGCACCATATTTCACCATTTCTGGTGCGGTTCTCCCATACCAGTTGCATCCCCGAAAATTTATCCAAACTTCCGCCCATACACAGCAGCACAGCATGGGCTTCTCGCAATGGCAAAGAGTTTGCAGGTAATGCCCTTGGGCGCCTCAAGGAGGGAATTCCTGGGGGTTTTCATTCGCTGGGCGACGCGACTACTCGGTGAAGCTCTGCTGGGAATACAAAACATGATCCTACAAGGAGTTAGTGTAAAAGGATGTAAAAGGACGTTAAAGGGACAGCCAGGGTGAAATGAGTACCTTTATTAAACTTTATTAGCTTGAAGCCGCTTGAAGCCTTGAAGCTGAAGCAATGGTTGGTGCTGGGAGATTCTCAACGGTTCCAGTTGCGGTTTGCTTCGGTGCACCTGACCATCCCCTCTGACCAGGAGACCAAGATCATGGCGGCAAAGGTGCAGAGTCCCCCAAGCCCCGCAGCCAGCAGTGGCACGACATGGCACGACTTGCGGCAGTAACTTATGTTCTTCATGATATTTCAGTACACCAGCATACACCGGTAGCAAAAGTCCCATACAGCAGGCCATCAGGTTCAGGCAGATTGCCTCGAGTCTAATAGCACAGTGGCACAGGCCCGCTTAATGCAGAGGCTCTGGAGGCTAAGCTTTCATGCATGCAGTTATTCTTCTGCTGAGTGCACCGGCATCGCTTTAATGGATTGACTTTGTATCTGCTCGCCTTGGACATGTTCGAAAAGATGAAGTAAAATGCGAGGTATTTGAGTGTATTTGATATCTCAGGAGATCTTTTTATGTCATCTTCAATCAGAGATATCTGATGAATCTTGATGATATCGCTGTGATCCTGTGCTGCACCAAGTCTCAACTCGATCACAGAGATGCAGGCTCTTGCAGCGGTTGCCCTTGGAACGTCGCAGAAAAGTCTTGGAGTTGGAAGCTAAGAGACTCCAAGGACTCGATCAGTTGAAGCCAAGGATTGGATCTGTTGGGTCAGTTGGATCAGTAGTTCGTATGATCTTTGTGTTGGAATACTTTGAATCTCTTCAAATGCACTTCAAGATTCTTCAGCACATGACATGATTGGTCATTTCCATATTAGCAGGGCCTTCAACAGGTGAAAGGATGACATCCTTGAGCCAAGAAGAGTCTCACTGGGCAAATTCAGGCGCTTTACAGCATCCCAAAAGCGCGCTTTGGAATGTGTGGAGCCAAGATGTGTGAAGGAGGGCCAGAGTTGTCAAAGTTTGACATTTGGAAGTCACGGTGTGCTATGTAATCACTGTACATTGTATTTTTCTGGGCCCGTGGTTGGCTGGCTTGAAATTCCGAGCCTGAAGTCTTGTTGCTAGCCATCTTCGGCACACCCCCCGTTTCCACCCTACGTTTTCAATCATATTTCTCTAGAATCTCATGTCGCAGTGCCCACCCCAATGTTGTCGTTTAGATGCTCAAGTAGAGTCAAGCAAGGTCAAATGCGAAATCATCAAACTGCCTGCAAGAAAGATTCCCTTACCAAAATCAGACCTCTTTTGCATGTTGCTGACTGCTTGTCATTGAAGTTAAATGCAGCCACAGTGTACTGTAGCAGGAGTCAAAAACTTGTGGCTTCAAGACCCAAGCTCAAAGAGGACGAACTTTAATTTGGCCAGGCATTTCAGTTGGTAAAGGCAAGGATAAAGAAGGCACAAGCTATGACACAGCGGAAAGTTTCCTACATCCCTGTTCCACGGCACATTCACTCTTCTCAGAAGGGTAAAAGCAATGACGGCTACTAACTTCCTACGGCCATGGTGCAGACGGCGGCGTTTGGCCGTGCTTCTGCTGGTATGTCTTTGTCATTTGAGCGCATGGCTGCCATGGCTCTTCGTGGATCCATACAGAGGATCTCCAGGCCGTGGACATAGCAAATGGCGGTGCACTCTTCGCGCCGAGCTGGAGGACATCCGAAAGATGAGAGCGAAAGAAATCAAAAAAGAATTGATCGACCAAGGCATCGATGTCTCGGACATTTTCGACAAAGAAGAGTTGGTGGAGCGCCTGTGGCAGCTGCGCAGCGGCGTTCTCCAGCCGCCACCTGCACCTGCCCCTGCCACGGAGGCCGTTGATGCGCCACCTGCAGAACCTGCGCAGGCGCCGCAGGCAGTGCCGGAGGCGGAAACTGGGTCAACTGGGTCAACTGGGTCAACGTCAGCTGCGGCTGGAGACTTCGTGGCGCAGTGCCGCCAGATGAAAGTAGTGGAGCTCAGAACAGAGCTGGGACAAAGAGGAATCAGTTGGGCGGATGCCTTGGATAAAGATGAGTTGGTGGAGCGGTTGGCACATGTTCTGGCAAAAGAAGCAGCATTTTGCAGTTCTGGGCGGCTGAAACCTGGGATCGTCTCCAAGATCACTGGGAAGGAGCTGGAAGAGGAGCTGGCAGATTCTACCACTCCCCTGTTGCTCGATGTCTATGCGACCTGGTGTGGGCCCTGCAAAGTCATGGAAACTCACCTCGAAGCTGCAGCCAAGAAACTTGGAAACAAAATCCGTGTGGCAAAGATGGATTCAGATGAGGAAGGCGATGCATCCACAAAGCTGCGAGTAAATGGTTTGCCCACTCTGATCCTGTTTGACCGCGATGGAAAGCAGGTCCAAAGAAATGAAGGTGCCATGATGGAAAGTCAAATCATTGAGATGGTACAAGCTGCGAAACTCTGAGGCTGTCAAAGCTCAGCTTGAGCAGATCGTAATCCACAAGCGCCTTTGGTAGAACATGTTATGCCTCCCGTGGAGCCCGCAGAAAAGAGACTTTATTTCGCTGCCAAAGCATGATGACTTGGTGACTTCATGTGACTTCTACTTTTCGGTTTCCTTCTGAAAGTCTGAAGATATTTGAAGCTTGAGAGTCCTGGGAGTCGCAGGATGTCCAAGAATATAACCCCCAGCTGACTCTCACCTAGGTTGGATCCTTGGCAATGCAGTTGCCGTGCCACAGGCGCATTGCATCCAGCTGCTGTTTTTTTTGGCTTCGCTACACCATAGATTTGATGTCACAGCAAACCTCATCGCATAGCGGCATAGCCGAATAGCGCTGGCATGGCGCACGTGTTTCTAGACTCTAGACATTTCTAGACTAGGAAAATAGAGCAGTGTAGCACAAGTGGACCTTTCAAGTGGGTGGTTCTAGAGTGCACGTAAACACTTTGCCTTGTCACAGCATGCAGCATGCGTCATTAAGGTTTTGACAAGTTCCGCCTTGGACATGCCATGATTGGGAAGGCTTTCAACTTCACAACAGCCAGGCTTTTGGTCCCCGGCGAGTGACATTGGCCTCGACCTTGAAGGAGGGACATGAATTAAAGTGTAGTAGTATATACTATTGCCACACTGTGTATATATATATATACACACTAATCATAACATAATATATATATATACACACTGTATGTATATCTGTATACATACAAACACATGTACATATGTATATACACGTACATATGTATATACACATACATATGTATATACATGTACATATGTATATACATGCACATATGCACATAATATATATATATATAGATATATACACATAATTATGCAATACAGTATATGCATTCCAGTAATGAAAGGCTTGATCATGTTTGAATATGTTTGAAGATGCTATTGAGCCAGTAGCCCAGTTCTTTCCACTTACCAAGTGTTGAAAACATCCCAGGAGCAAAGTCCTGCTGTTGGCACTGGCAGCTCACAGAACATTGTCCGGTACAAGCGGGGCAAGGCAGTGGTGCTCGATGATCTGCGTTCAAATCCATGAGATCTGTGGCTTTTCCCTGGCTGCAGGTTACATATTATGCAGGGAGGCTTAGGAGTGGGATTGGCAAATGCTGGCGGATGCTGCACAAAGAATGAACTTGCACAGCAGATCCATTTACATTTGACATCAATGGTTTGTTTTTTCTGAGCAACAAGAGTCACTCAACTGCGATCAATCGACAGAGAGTGCTGGTAGGAATGCTAGCAGCTGCTGGCACAATTGACGAATTGGGCACCAAAGGTAGAATTGACGATGCTGGTAGGATGGTATGCAGCATGGCCATCTCAAAAATAGCACGGACAGGCGGCAAAGTCCGACAGGATTTCCTAGACTGCTGCTTTACCATTGGAGTCTTTCAAGTCTGGATTTCTATTCGGCTTCCAGGGAAGACTCAGAGTTTCCAGGGCTTATTCCTTCACTTTGAGCATTTGAGGCTGCTCAGATGCACCTGGGCTCTGGTTTGCGAATGCTGTCCAAGACCGAGCGATGTCTTCAGGCTGCCTGAGATGCTGGAGAAGTCTCTGAAGGGTTGTGTATGATATGATAGCAACAGCAAGAACCACAACAATAGCAATAGTGATACTGAGAATGCAAATAGTAGTGATGATGAGAATAGTACTGAAAGCAATAGCAGTAACAACAACAGCAACAACAACAACAACCACAACAACAACAACAGCAACAACAACAACAACAACAACACCACTAACAATAATAGAAGCATCTACAACAATGGTACTAATTAACAGCTACTAATACTAGTCACAATAACAACACCAACAACACCAATGATACTAATGAGCATTAAATGAGAACGCTAATAGCAATGATACCGACAGTAACAACACATGTTATTTTCAATCGTAACAGTAACACCACTAGTTAAATGACAATGGACAACAACAGTAGCAACAACAACAATGATAACAACAACAATAATAGCAATACACGAGCAATATTTATCAGATCTGCGCCTAGTGACCCTATGAGACAAGTTCTGTTTGAAAAAGGAACTTTAATTCCAAGATTGGAATTTCGTAAGCGGCCCGGAAAACCTCGACAACAATGGTTAACAACAACATATGATGATGCTTATCAAACTCTGAACCAGCCACACCCATTTGACATAGATAATCCTGCGCATAGACAGCTAGTCAACGACCTAGCTTGCCAGAGAATTGGAGTCTTCTCGTGATCCATCACCGAAAATCGTCACCGAAATCATCACCGAAAATTGTGACAAATCGTCACCGAAAATCGTCACCGAAAATCATCACCGAAAGCAAAGGGCTTTCTCCCTGCCCTGCCAATATCACAGTGGGTATTGGGATTACTTTTGTCTCACCCTTGACATCTTTGAGTTGTTTCTAATTTCATGTTTGTCTCCTACACCAACGTTTTTGACATGGCACTGCAAGGTAGAGATCAGTTTCACCCCCCTGGCACAGTATTTATGCATGATTACGTTGGATTCTGCGCTCAGCCTGTCTGGCCTGCGCTTGGCAAAAAGAGCAATATTTATGACATGACACTGACAACACTTAGTAACAATACTGACAGCAATACCACCAATTACAATAGCACGAACAACAACAACAACTAGCTATGATGATGACGACGATGACGACAATGATGAGGCTGCTGCTGCTGCTGATGGTGGTGGTGGTGGTGGTGGCCGTGGTGGTGGTGGTGGTGGTGGTGGTGATCATAATTATTGCAACACAGCAACTAGTAACTAAGAACTAGTAACTAAGAACAATAGCAATAACAAATAACAATACCCAAGAGCAAAACCACTAACAATAACACTAATTACAATAGCAATGACACTGATGATAGCGATGATGATGATGATGATGATGCTGATGCTGATGCTGA